GTTTATTCCTAGTGCTAGGTCCCAATCTTCCAGGGCTCTAAGCACAATTAAACTGGGTGGGTAGGTGAGGGGAGGCCCATTCAGATGTAGGGCCAGAAGTGGGGCTCCCCATATCCCCACCCCTTTGGTCCCAGTCCCCTTCTCTGCAATGGGCACACATTGAGGAGGGACAAAGGGTATTGGAGGCAACATCATTGGCCCAGGGGAGCCCAAGAAGAGCTGCCATTGGCTGACAGGGCCTTTTGAGGCTCTGCCATTGGTCAGGGGGCACACCCCAGGAGCTGGGGATAGGCCTGAGGAGTGATGCCATTGGCCAGGGAGTGGTTTTGTCATAGCCTTTGACTGTGGAGTGGAAGAAGATCTGGGAATGAAGCCCAGTGGCCAGGAAGATAAAGGACAGGGCAGCAGCCGCTGGGCCTGCAGGGCCCCTCCCTACCCACAGCAGTGTGGGCACAACTGGTGTCAGCCCCAGCCAGGGAAAGGGAACCCAAGCCAGAGGGCAGGAGGCAAGGGATGTCCCATGCCCACATCTCCTCCACCCTGGGACTGCCCCTCCAAATGTCCTTCTTGATAGCCAGGTTGGGCTGGAGCGGCTCACTGCTCCTCTAGCCAGGAGGGCTTCTCGGCTCCTGGAGGCCGCAGCTTGATGTTGAACTGCTGCAGGGTCTGCTCCAGCTGTTTCTGGTTCCCAGCAAAGTAGGCTGACACGGCATTGTGGAAGAGCAGCAGCTGCTTGTGCATCACCTTGATCTGGAGGTCCACAAGCTCAGCTGAGACTGGACTCAGATACCCTTCCTGAGGGGCTATGAGCCCAAGCCCAGACTAGGGGCACACGGACTCTGCTCTGATGATGCTTTTTGGAATGGGAGCTGAACTCCACCAACAGAGTGCAAGGATAAGGACTAATCTGATAGGAGACATCTGACTTGATTGGCTGGGACTGAGATTCTGGTACCCAAGCTCAAGGTCTGATTTTTCCCAGTTATGTCCCTGGGACCAGCAGCTAAATCCACCAGTAGAAAAGGGCCAGGGATAGAGAGAGGGTGAGTGGAAAGGTCCAGGGGTTGAGAGGACTGGGGGAAGATCCCACTCCTTAGCCAGGCTGCATTTCCCATTCAATGATGGGGAGGGTTTCAGAGGAGTGAGGAGGTCAATGTTACAGATGGGAAGGTGGGCTGGGTCAAAGGGGTGGGGTTGGCACCTTGTTTTCTTCCAGGAACTTGAGCTTGATGGCCACATCTCCTCGCAGCTTCTCATATTTGTCCCGATGGGCCTGGAAAGTGGCCTGAGCACTCTCGAGTCGACCACGCGTCCCTGCATCCCGAGGGCCTAGGCTCAGCTCCTCTAAGTCTGTTCGGTAGGCATCATATTCCAGCCTGGGGAGGGGGTGATACAGGCTGGTCTCCACCCCTTTGTTCTCCACACATACTCACTCGCCTTTCTTTCCTCAATCCTTAGGCCCCTAAAGCTCAAACTTCCACCCAAGCCAGCCAACTCCCAAAACCCTAGGCCCTGCCAGCGCCCACACCTGGCAGCCTCATACTGTTTGACAGTCATGAGTGTGTCCTCCATGGTCTTGGTTACCAATGTGTTGATGCTAGAGACAAAGAAGTTCACAGCCCCTAGCAGTGTTTCTCCATTCTTGCACAGCAGCTTCTGCGTTTCTGCATTGTAGCCAAATTCCTCCTGAGGGCAGAAGGGAGGGACAGGCCTTGAGTAACAGTCCCCACCTGACTGGAGCTGTAGCCTCCCCCCTCCCCCTGCCGCCCCAGGGGAAACAGCCATTGAAACTGAAACATCCCAGGACTGCCTCCAGCAAGGCTCTCTTAGCCAGAAAGTTAGTGGGGCCATTCTGGGGATGCCTGGGGCAGGAATGTGGGAGTGGGGGTCTCAGATAAGTACGCAGGCCTAGACCAGGGAAAGCTGGTGTAGCAGGCAAGGGAGGGGCTCTGATGAGGCTGAGCACTCAAGGTATTCTGGCCAATGCAGAGAAGGGTTACTTGTGAGGCACCTAGTGTGCCGCCTCCCCCACCCCCTCCAACTTTTGGACCTCTGTACAAACCCTTAGGCCGCCTCCACAGGTGAGTGCTGCTGGGGGCAGGGCTGGGCCCACCCTGGAGGGGTTCTCCCTCTGGGCTGCAGGAGGGAGGGAGGGAGGCTGAGGGGTGACTGCCTGGGAGGGCCTGGGCCCAGTCCCCCCACCCTCTTCGGCCTGGTCGAGGCACCTGAAGCTCTGGGGACTTCTGGCTGAGGTCAGCAAAGGCGTCACCCAGTGCATGCTGGGTCTGCAGCAGGCTGTAGAGGTGGGCGGTTAGTGCCCGACCCAGCTGCAGGACACTCTCATACTTGCGCTTCGTCTCACGCAGCAGCTCAATCTGCAGCTCTAGCTCCAGGTCCACAGTCCGGGAGCCTCGGCCAAATCGCTCTGATAACAGCTGCTTTGTGCACTGATTGGGAAGCGGGGAAACAGATCAGAGACCCTAGTACGCCGTCCCCTCCCAGCAGGTATCTATCCCAGCATCCCCAGGCTCCTAGTCTCAGCCATAGATAGGATACTAGGATCTGGAAGATAGGGAAAAGGCACCCAGGAAAGTTTGAGGGAAGGGAGAGGTGTTTGAATCTCACCTTATATGTGTTAATGCCCCATTTCTTGACAATGTCAAACTTCTCTCCAGCGATGCCCCGAGCCACCTCATCTCCGGGGCCAGCAGGAGTAGCACTGTGAGATGGATGGCGGCCAGACCCTAAAGGACCAAGTTCTTTGACACCAGCCTCTCTCAGATACAATCAAAAACCTCTGTGGTTCCACCCATACTTCCCTCCCAGCACTGATAATGATTTCCCTGAAAGAGCATAAGCTAGAGACAAATAGATTCTCCTATCCAACTAGGAGGAACTCATACTTTGTGCCCTGACACTCAAATCCCAATATATATCAGCCTCCTTTTGAGGTGGTGGTGGTGGTTGGAGAAGGAGGGAAGAGGGAGTTGCTAGTGGACAGGGGCAGAGGAAACAGCCGAAAATAGGCTGAGTACAGAGTGGCTGATCAAGAATGGTGGGTCCATCAAACAGAAACCCGGTTGACATTCTCATGTGGAATCCTTGTCAGTGTGAGATTCCAGGCTGTTTGTTCCTCTAAACATTAGAGTGTAAAGTAGAACTCTGAAAAGCCTCACAAAGTTCCAAATAAGATTCGGGCTCCAGAGCAGGGGAATGGTCTGTGAAACAGAGTTCTTCTTTCAACTCAGGTGGTAACAGCAGAGAAAGGACCCATGAGCGTATCTCGGGGACTATATGGCAAATGAAAGCAGATGGACAACCCTGGGAATGGGCCTTGGGCTGAGATTCCATAGGGTTCATACTGGCAGAGGTTCCCAGGATCTCTAGACAGAATTCAGACCTTCTTAGACACATCCTATGATCCCTAGAACCATCCCTCTCCCCCTCTCCACTCAAGCTCCCTGTCCTGTTCTGATCATTCATACCTGTGGGGATGAGTCCATCACCAGAGCCCCCATAGCCACCAGACACAATGCTGGTTTCATTGAGGTTGGGTCCTGACACCATCACCTGCTGGAGGTCCTATAGGCCAGAGAAGAGGGGGGCTTCAGGAACAGAGGGGCAGCTGAAGCATTTTGGGGGTGAAAACAAGCTTGGATTGAAGCATCAGAGAGAGAGCACACAAGGGACGTCTGCACAGAATCAGAACAAAGATTTGTAAAAAGATTGAAGGGAGTCACGTAAGTTCAGGGAAGGCTACTGGGGTGCAAGCTCAGAGTTTATGAGTTGGGATTCCTCAACCAAAACAACATGGAGAAGAATCGAACAGAAGCACCTGCTCCAGCCCATCATCCTCAGGAAGCTGCCCAGCTTCACCGTTCCCGTGGATGGGGATCTCCATTGTGGCTGCCTTCCCTAGGATCCCGTCCGTCATGGCGAGCGAAGGGACCGGAGTCAAAGTCTCCACCCCAGCGCCCTGCAAAGCCCAATACAGACACTTCTGGAAATTGGCCAGTACTCCAAAGAGGAAGATCTCCCCTGCCATTTCTGAGGTTCCCAGGGCTTCAGTGTTCTGGGGTTTGGACATCACTCTTTCCTTAGCTCTATGTATATCTCCCCTCCAAGGTACATGCTTCTATACACGCACACCCAGGCCACAGGTGTGCCTAACCTGAGATCATGTTCTCATGGCCCACCTCCCCCACCCCCACCCCACTCAGGACTCCAGTGATCATTCATGCATTCAGTCCTTCAACAGACATTTAATGAGTGCCGACCATGTGCACTATTTGAGGCAGTGAACACGAGATAAAGTCTGTGCTCTCAAGAAGCTTATCCCCATGCAGGTGTTTCCCCTGATCAGGAGGTGAACCCCTTTCCAGGGCTCAGGTGTCTACCTATCCCCCCACTTCAGGTAAGTTCTCCATTGCTTGGCCTTCCACACTTCTTTACTGTTTCTTCCCTTTCCTGCAGGTGGTCTCCCCCTCCTCCATCCCATGCACCTCCTTTTCCTCGGGCCCTCCCCTTCAGGCCTTAGTTGAATCAGTTGGTTTAAGTTCCCGACCTCTGGCAAAAGCCTCTCTTTCCCAGGACATATGTGATCTCTTCCAAAGTCAGTTATGTCTCCCCAGGTGTGAGTCTCCGCCCTCCCCCCACATACACCTGGGCATCAGGTGTGTTCTCATCCTTCCCCAGGGCTCAGAGGCATCCTGACCTCAGGTCAGGTTCGTGCATTCAACTTGCTCTCGCCCATGCATGTCCCTCTCACCTCGGGCCGGGCCGCTCTTCCCCTCAGGGCGCCAGGCCCGGGCCGCGCGGGGACCTCGGGATCCAGTTCCCTTCGCGATCCTAGCAGCAGGTCAGGGATTCGGCGGAAGTGACGTCCTCTCCCGGGCAGAAGAAGCCGGCCACGTCGCAAATGATAAGGGCGGAAGTGACGTCGGCAGCAGGGGCCGGACGATCCTTGAGCCAACCCCGCTGTCTCTGGGGAGTCACAAGAGGTCACTTCCGGGGCGTTACCTAGAAGTTGTAACGGAAGTGACGTAGGGCACGCGCCCTTGGCGCGATGGAGCAGCAGCAGCAGCAGCAACAGCAGTTGAGAAACGTGAGTGGGAGCAGAGTCGCTATAGGGCCATACGTTTACCTAGCATCCTTGTCAGCGTGGCGGGAACCCCAAAGAGCCAGGCATCCGAGGGGTGAGAACGTCGGGCCTTGGTGCGCGGTGCTGGGAACCTCGGGCGGTGCGGCCTTGAGTTGAGATACGGTCCTCTTCTTCGCTGAATTCCTTGTCCCCTTCCCTCCCAGCTGCGGGACTTCCTGTTGGTCTACAATCGGATGACGGAACTCTGCTTCCAGCGCTGCGTGCCCAGCCTGCACCACCGAGCTCTGGATGCTGAGGAGGTTAGGTGGGGAACTGAGTAGGGAGCTTACCCCCGGTCCTCAAGAGTTAACCACAGGCTACTTGATTCTCCCCGCGCTTCCCCGACCTCTAGCCCTGGCCTAGGCGAGGGATGGGAAAGAAGGAGTTGGACCTGACAGAACACCTTTGGTCTTCCTTCCAGGAGGCCTGTCTGCACAGCTGTGCTGGGAAGCTGATCCATTCCAACCACCGCCTCATGGCCGCTTACGTGCAGCTCATGCCTGCCCTGGTACAGCGCCGCATCGCCGACTACGAGGCTGCCTCAGCTGTGCCAGGTGCTGCTGCTGAACAGTCCGAAACCTCGCCATCAGGCAGCTAGCCCTGCCCAACCCCAGGAAGGGAGGCACTGGATGGACCCTCAGATTGAAGGAACCAGTGGACCTTGGGCTAGGTGCAGCCTGGGTATAGAAAGTGAGGGGTTGCCTGAGAGCTGGGTACTGTTGCTCCTTTTCCTGGAGCTAATAAACCCGCTTTTACTCTGTTTGGTTTATATAATGGGCAGGGAAGCTTTGCCCACTTTATTGGCACCATTCTTTTTATTCTGTCAGTGCTTCAGCCCTGGCAGCAGAGAAATTGCCTTCTATGTGTAGAAAGTAAACCTCAACATTCCCAAACACCTGCTTAAAGTAAGGTCCTGTGGCAGTAGCAACAGGAAGTTGGTTCCTGCCCAGATGACAGAGAAAATGGGAGCTCTGCCCATCTAGCTGACCTTAACTTAAATCTATCTGACTTAAATGGCTCACTTAAGAGATATCTAGGAACAACAAATTAGGAAACTACAGGCCTTTTAGGCACTACCTCCTGGGAAGTCAGTAGCCTCAGACAGAGCTAAAACCTGTAAGAATTCTGGAGTGTTCTGGAACTTCAACTATTTCCCTGAGTTGTTACTTTCTTACTCTTTTCTGTCTTCCAGGATAAGCAGTAAAACCTTTTATCAAAGAAGGTATGTGTGCTTGTTTTCAGGAGCAGTCAGAAAGGGGAAAACTTGGGGAACTGTATTCTGCAACACAGACTTGAGGGAGAGAAACCCAAGGGAGAAGTAGATGGTGGTGGTTATGGGGAAAAAAGGAGGAAAGCAAAATCTTAAAGACTTATTGACTGTTACCTTAATGTCTGCTACTTGTCTATAATCTCCTAATTCTAGCTCTTCCTCCCCCTGCCGCCTATTGTTCCCACTGTGCTTCTTCTGTGATTTCTCATTCCACCCTCTCTGTTCTTTCCTCATAATCGCCCTTCCCGTTGTTGAATTTACTTCTGTATTCAGCAGTCTGAATGGCCTATCACACCATCACCGAATTTTCTTTCCACTCTTGCATCCTTTTTGTATCATCCCAGCTGTTTTAACTTTGCTGCTCTTCCATTCACACTGTTAGAGAAAAACAGCTGTATATTGAATGCCACTAAATATATTGAATGCCACTAAGATCTCTAGCTGCAACCAAGCCCTTACTACCATTAAGCAACCCTTTGTGGGTTCCTGGTCTATTTGCTCTCTTAGTCACCACAGTAGTTATTTTATACCTTCACTGCTGCTCTCCCTAATCCCCCACCTCACCCTCAGCTCTTCCCCATCAGGTGACCATGTTTCATTTTTTAAATGGAAATGGAAGCTCTTAGACATTGGCTCCCATAATAGTAACTAAAAAACAAAAACAGAAACTTAAGAACTACCCAGAGAGCAGATGTTTTTCCCCCCCTGGGCAGATCAGGAAGTTGAAATTCTCTAGTAGCAGACCCTGTCTGAAAATGCAGATCTGACTTTAAAATCCATGTTTCCTTTACTATACCAGGTTTGCCTTTCAAAATATCTATTGAGCACCCACTTTGTGTGGGTTCTGATGCTGGTATTACCCAATATAACAGATGAGGAAACAAGAATTCAGTTGTACCAGGAGAGCCCACCTTATATACAGTTACCTATTGAGGGAGGTGGAATAAAGTCCTCTCCTTGGAAGATACAAACGCAGGTAAAAGAGCTGGTGAACTGAATTCTCAGTGACAGGGATGGGGACCTGGGATATTGCACTGCTGGTGGGAGGATTCTTCCACGTTAACATTTGTGTTTATATCCTTGCAATAAACTTCCATTGTGAATTATCTGTGTTTCCATGTCACATAATTAGTAATTGCTGGAGAGGGACTAGGAACATAGATCTGAGTCTAAAGCTTATGTTCTTTGAACTTCAGAGCTCATTTGTGCTTGCTCATCTGCACCCAGCCTGTCGCTGGGCATGGGAAAACAAGTGTCCCTTAGTCTAGTCCACCAGTTAGTCCCTCAACTCTAACATCTCTTCTTTCCTCTCTGTCTATAAATGTGTTCAGTACTTAGGAGAAAAACCTTATTCGTTCTGTCTTCCATAGTCACTGAAGGCTCCCTCAGGACTTACTATGGAAGTGTTAGCCATTGGCATAATGAGAGCAATGTGATGTTCCAAGCACAACACAAGGATAAACACTGACAAAGCTTTATCCCTTTATCACAAACACATATTGGAGACAGGGTTGTTCCAGACCTTGTGGCTTCACAACTTGAACTAAACAACTTTAGTGGACCTTGTGGCCCACTTCTTTGCAAAGTGATTCCTTTGAGCCTATTCAGCTATATCACCCTGTCTCATAACTTGTCCTTAGTAACTGCCACTCTCTTACTTCCCTCTCGATAGCTAGTCTTTGGTCTTCCCATCCACCTCTTGGTAATTTAATGTTACAATGACAGTCTTTCCAATGTTTTGGTCTCTTAGTTCCTTGACCTAGTCTCCAAAGATTTCCACCCTGTCTTAGCCACTCATTCCCTTAGTCATATCCTGACCATTGTCACCACCCAGACTGTTCCATCTTCAAAACACTTACTTGCATCTTATTCACTGACTGTATTCCTTCCACTTTGTTTGTTGAGCTGTTCCTCTACCACTTTTTTATTTCACGGGATCATTCAGGCCATTGCTTCTACCTTCTTTCCATTAACACCTTATCTTTAGATTCCAATCAAGTTTAAAGTCTAGTCATTCTCTTGGAATAGGCTTAATTTCCTTGTCTCACCTCTCTTTGTTGGACTTGGATAAAAGGAAACATTAGTGCCTACATTTGGACATCTAAAAGGCACCCAATGAAAATCACTAAAGAGCAGATTTATATCACTATGAATTCATGGTTATCAACTTTAAATGGAGTCTGGGCCCCTGTAATCCCACTTAATTTTTCTAGCCGTCTTTCCTCTTCCCTGCAATGACTATTTCAAACCAATATTCTTAAGCCTCGTATTACTCCTACCATTCTCACTTTCTGTAGGTCCCCTTATTTTTAATTCATAGGCAAAGTAGAAGCTGTCCATTGGGAACTCCTGCAACATCTTGCAGCCCAAAGCTTGGTCACCCACCTACATTGTTACCGTGCTCTCTTTCCCTCCTGTCTAAACAGGACAAGCATCCCTCTTAAGGTCAGTGCTCATTCCTGTGCTCTGAATCCTAGTCCTTCTTTGGGGATCTCTGGCTTTTCACCACTTTACTAAATTCTTCTCATCAGTGTTTAACGTGCTAAAGTCTCATTACAACAAACAAACCACTCTACCTCATTTCGCCTCCAGTTACCATCCAGTTTTTTCCCCATTTTGTAGCTAAACTTCTCAAAACCTCTAAACTTCTCCCCCCAGAAAAGTTGAATACTTTGGCCCTCTCCACTCCCATGCCTCATCCCAGTCTGTTTTGACTTCTACAAAACCTTTAGTCTATTGAAATGGTTCTTACTGAGGTCCCCCTAGCTCACCAAGTGACCATCGTATCCCTGAATCCAGTGGTTATTGCCCTCAGCTTATTTCCTCGGCCCACTTCACTTCTCAGTGGCATCTGGTACTATTGACTAGTTCCTCATCAGCACTCATAGGTGTCTATGATTCCACTCTCATGGTTTTACTAGAACCTCTGGCCTCCTTTGCAGGAGTCCTTAGGCTCCTTTGCAGGCTTACTGGCCTCCAACCTTTAAATCTAAACATATCTCTAAGCCCCATTCTTTCTCAATCTAATTTTTCTGTGATTGTGTCATCCCCACTCTGAGCTTTAGTTGCTAATGACCTTCAGATCTCTCCTCCGGGCTGCTTGATTGACATCTCTACTTTGGTGTTTCAGAAACATCCCACCAAGCTCAGCAGGTTTCCTCATAAACTTTGCTCTTGTGCCTAGTACTCAACCAGTTGCAGAAGCTAGAAACCTTACTTACCCGTTCACTCAATTGCCAAATCCTATCCGTTTACATTTCTAAAAATCCCTAAATTCTGCTGCCTCTCTTATCTTCACAATCTCCCACCAGGATTATTCCAATTCCTGCTACTTCCCATATCCAGTTGTGCACCCCTCCAACCTAGTCTCCATCCATTGGCCAGAAGACACAAACTGATGCTTAAAACCTTGCAATAGCTTCCAATTCTTCTTAGGATTAAAAACTGACATTCTACGCATGACCTACAAGATCTTGCGTGATCTAGCCACTGCCTACCTCAGTCCTACCTTGATCTTATCAATGATTGTCAACACTGGACAGTTAATACTGTTTGTTGAATTGAACTAAATTGAATTGAACCACACCTCACTCTCCCTCTCTCTGCTCTGACCACACTGGCCTTTCAGTTCCTCTAACCTGTCATACACTAGTCCATCTCAGGGCCTTTGTACTTGCTGTTTCCTGGCCTGTAATGCTTTCCCCCTTACTTGACCTACTGAGCTTCTACTCATTCTGGAGTACTTAGTTGAAATACTGTTTCCTCAAATAACTTCCCAGACCCCAGCTCCCATAATTCCTCATGTTTTTGGCATGTAGCACTTGTACATTTGGTAATTATACACCCCGTGGGGTCAGAGTCCTTGTCTGCATTGCTCACCATTGTATCCTTATCACAGTGCCTGGCACATGAAAGTGCTTGATAAATCTTTGTTGAATGCACATCGTTCAGTCTTCTCCCAGCTCAATCAGCTATTTGCATAATCAGAGGAAGGCTTTTTATCTGAAGAGACCAAAATGAATCTGCATTTAACCTTTGGCCTTTTGCCAGTGATTTAGAGGTATAGAGGTGTTTTTAATTCAAAATCTCACTTTTTGGTATCTTCTGCTCTAAACATCCACAGATTAGTCAACACCTAAAACACCTCCACCTACAGCAGATCATTCACATCTTGCTACAAGGCAGGCTGGGGAACATCATCTTTATTCTTACCAGTCACTTACTCAATTAAAAATTGGGTTCAAGGAAGAAAAGGAGAAGGGCTATTGGGAGACACCTGCCAATCTATTTTCCATACTAACCAAGAGTGATTCTTGTAAAATATGCGTTTAACCATGGTACTGATCTACATAAGGTCTTCCACGACTCCAGACTCCTTAGCCTCACAAGTGGGGCTTCTCTGATCAGGTTCCAGATGACTTCTCTGGCCTCCTCTTCAACCAGTTTTTTTTTATTCTTTGATGCTTGGTTATAAAAGAATCAGTTTATTTGTGGTGTTCATCATGCTAATAATTCCAGACTCTGTTTTGCCTTTTCTTGGTATGCCCCACATTCATCTATGTATTTACATATTTCATAAATATTTGAATGACTTTTACCAACGTTAAGTCCTGCAGATATAGAGGTGAATGAGAAAGATGCTATCCTTGTTTTCTTGGAATTTAACTTCGATATGGTGATGGTCAATATAGAACAAGTAATCACAACTGTGATGAACGTCGCAAAGAAGAAACGTGCATTGTAATGGGGATATACAGTAGTGCCAACTTACCTGCATGTGGGATGAAGGAGAGCTTCCCTGAGGAAGTGATTTTGAAGCTGAGATTTCAAAGGTGAATTAGAATTAATCAGGCAAAGACAGGGGGAAGAGCTGCCCTCCTTTCCTTCATGTCTTTGCTTAGATGCCACCTTTTATTAAGACTTACTCTGATTATCCTACTTAAAATTGCAACCTGTCCTCCCTTAAGACATTCCTGATCCCCTTTTTTCCATAGCACTGCCACTTCTTATGTACTATACAGTTTATTCATTTTATTACTTGTTATTTGTGTCCCCCACTGGAGTGTCAGCTCCATAAATCAGGAATTTTTGTCAGTGTTATTGTTTTGTACACTGATGTAACCAGACACCCAAATTAATGCCCAACACAGGTGATACTCAACAAATACTTACTGATAAATGAAGGTAAGAGAGTATTTCCAGAGCAAAGTTCTAGAGCTTGGCTTAAGAGAGAGGAGAAACTCTTACTGGAAACAGGAGGGAGGGAGGAAGGGATGAGATCAGATCTAAGTAGTTGTGATTTGGTTTTGGGAAGTTGAGAGTTCATTTATTTATCTGTCTTCCTTTAAATGGAGGTACTGGGGATTGAACCTGACCTTGTGCATGCTAAACATGCACTCTACCACTGAGCTTTACCCTCCCCTGAGAATTCCTTTTAAATAACTGTGTAATGGCTAGTTTTGTGTGTCAAATTGGCTGGGCTACAGTACCCAGTTATTTCATCAAACACTAATAATCGAGGTGTTACTGTGAAGGTATTTTATAGATGTGGTTAACATCTACAGCCAGTTGACTTTAAGTAAAAGAAACTGCCCTCAGTAATGTGGGTGGACTTCATCCAATCAGCTGAAGGCCTTGAAAGCAAAAACTGAGATTTCCCAGAGAAGAAGAAATTCTCCCTCAAGACACTGCAACATTAACTCCTGCCTGAGTTTCCAGCATGCTGACCTATCTACCTTAAGGATTTTGGACTTGCCAGCCCCACAATCATGTGAGCCAATTTCTTAAAATAAACGCCTCTCTGTCTCTCTATCTCTGTCTCTTCTCTGTGCGTCTCTCTCTATATATTGGTTCTCTTTTTCTGGGGAACCCTGACTGATATCTTTTTTTTTTTTTGAAGTAGGAAGTAAAGTTACCAGAGAGTAAAACAAGAAAATGGAAGATGAGAGTGCAGCAGAAGGCTTGAAATAGTCTTTGCAGAGAATGAGAGAGTGAACTGACAAAAGGAGCATAATTAGGTTATTAGGTAGTGTTGAGGGCTCGGTAGAAGTTTCTGAACAGATTTCCTTTTTGACCTTGCCTGTCTGGAAAACTGTTGTTTTTGTTTTTTTTTTTTTAATTGAAGTATAATTTTTAAAATTTTATTTATTTGGTTAGGTTTTTTTGTTTTGTTTGGTGGGAGGTACTTAGGTATATTTATTTATTTTAATGGAGGTACTGGGGATTGAACCCAGGACCTCATACATGCTAAACACGTACTCTACCATTGAGCTATATCCTCTCCCCAGTTGAAGTATAATTGACATACATTGTTATATTAGTTTCAGGTGTACAACATATGATTTGACATTTATATACATTATGAGATGATCACCATGATAAGTCCAGTTACCATCTGTCACCAATGAAAGTAATTACAGTGTTTATTGACTATATTCCCTATTCCAAATATTATGTCCCCATAACTTATTTATTTTATAACTGGAAAAAAACTGTTCTTTAAGGCCTTAAACTTTAGAGCCTACTATGATTCTATGACTCTTCCTTGCCTTTTCTAGGAAGTGTTCTTATCTGTGCCCTCACTGAATCCTTTTGTTATGTCTTGTTCACCATTTTGTCCACAGCTCTTGGTAGAGCGCCATAAACAACAGCACAGACACCTAGCTCACACAGATCCACTGTACCTGGTGCTTATCTACCAGCCTCTATTCCAAGCATTGTACGTACATTAACTCATTTAATTCTCATGACAGCCCGGTAAGGTAGGTACTATTATTATCTTCATTTTATAAAAAATAAAAAATAAAACTGCAGTAAAATATCCCACAACTAGCAAGTGCTGGGCTCAGGTGTTCAGTCCAGGCAGTCTGACTCCCAGAGGCCATCCTCCTGGCTAACGAAAGTTGCTGTACATTTATGCATCTGTTCCACAGATACATTCTGATCACCTACTCATGGTGCCCAGCACTAAGGGCTGAGGGAAGAGCAGAGAGCAGTCAGAATCTCTGCCACCGTGGAGCTTATACTTCTAGTCAGGAGAAATGGACAATAAGTAACTAAGTGAGTATTGATATGAGGCGGTAATAAGTGCTACGGAGAAAAATAATGCGGGGTATGGAGGATCAGAAAGGTGGGGAGAAGGTTGCTATTTTATGGTAGGTAGTCAGAGAAGAACTCACTAGTAAGGTCTCTGAGCAGGGACTTGAAACGAGGGAATAGGCCTAGTGGACATCTGGGAGAAGAGTATTCACTGTGGTCTAAGCCTCTGCTTGTCCCCAGGTATCCATTGTCTTCTTCCTTTACTAGTCGAACCCCTGACTTTAATCTGGGCACATGGTTACTGAAAATAAAAATCAGATGTTGCAGCTTTCCTTGCAGCTAGGTATGTCCCTGTGATTGAGTGATGTGTGCAATGCCAGTTTTTGCCTTGAAAGGTAAGACTATGTCTTCTCTGCTCTACCCCATCTCACTAGCTGGGATGAAACCCAATACACATGATGGTGAACTCTCTTGGACTTTGAAGACAAGGACCATTTCCTTGGAGAAGGCAGCACAACTGAAAGGCAGCCATATTACCTCTGGAGTACTTATACTTGGACAGTTATGTGAGAGAGAAAATAAGCTATCATGTTAAGCCATTGTATTTTGGGGTCTTTTTGTTATTACAGCATACGTATGGTAGACAGAATGGTAATATGGTGCCCAGGATTTTCTGCCCCCTATGTACACACCCCATATAATCCCTTGGACTGTGAATATGATAGGTTTAACTTCTGTGATTAGGTTACATTTTATAGCATACTTGACTATAAGAAAGATTATCTGGGTGGGTCTGGCCTAACCACATGAACTTTTTTAAAGCAGAAAGTTTTCTCTGGCTAGTTGCAGAAAAGAATGTCAGAAAGTTTCGAAGCATGAAAAGGGTTTGAGGTGCTGTTGCTGGTTTGAAGATGGAGGGGCCATATGGCGAGGAAGACAGGTGGCTTATAGGACCTGAGAGTGACCCCCAGCTGATGTCCAGGAGGAAACAGGAACCTCAGTCCCACAACCGCAAGATACTGAATCCTGCGAACAACAAGGATGAGCTTGAAAGAGGATTTTCCTCCAGAGCCTCTGGACAAGAATCTAGCCTAGCCAACACCTTGATTTCAGGCTTATCGTACCCTGAGCAGAGAACCCAGTCAGGCCATGCTGGGCATGGATCTACAGAACTGTGAGATAGTAATCAGGTGCTTAGTTTGTAACAGTCGGTAACACAGCCACAGAAAACTGTAGGTACTATAGGTAGGCTCTGAGGTGGGAGCGTGCTCCGTGGGATGCAGGCAATAGAAGTGGTGTGAATAGGGGAGAGTAGGACAGGTTACAGAGGGAGCAGCCACCTTGGGTCAGATGGCAGCTTGTAGGCCACACAGAACTTCGGCTTTCCTGAGAGAATGAGATAATAAGGCATTAGTGAGTTTTGAGCAGGGGAGTGATAGGATCTGCCTGTATTTTAAAAGGGTCACTGGCTTTTCTGGAAGGAGTAGATTGTAGGGGGAAGGGTGGAAGCATGGAGACCAGTAGGAAGGTTATGGGATAATCCAGGTGAAAGGTGGTTGTAGCTTAGACCAAGGTGTAGCTCTTAAGGTAGTGAGCAATAGTTGGATTCTGGATATATTTTGAAGCTGTTGCTTAACAGAATTTGCTAAAGCTTAGATATGGAATGTGTGTGTGCAGGGTGGGGAGTCCAAATTTTGATCCAAGCAACTGGAAAAATGGACTTACCATTTACTGAGATGGGGAAGACCGTGAAAGGAACAGGTTCCTTTCTGTTTTGGTGGGGAGACAGTTAGGAGTCTGGTTTTGGACATTTTACATTTTTAATTTGGGGATTCTTACCAGATATCCAAAGCAGAGGTGGGACTCCATCATACGCTGAATTTTTGTTTTTTTAAATCATCAGGCTCCCCTACCCTTGATTTTGAGCTCCCGGTGACCCAGGATTTTGTCTTACTTGGGTTTGGGGGAGATGAGGTGGATGTTTGAGAGTGTGTGTTGGCGGGGGAGGGGGTCCCAAAGACAGCTTGTTGGTGCCCGGCGCTCGCCTACACGCTCCGTGATTGGGTAAACGGGCACATGGATTATACCTGCCCGCGACGCTCTCAGGATTGCTACTTTCCCAAGTCAACCGTGTGCCTCTTTTCCAGACGCAACCCGGCAGACCTTTATTCCCAAGGCCTGCGCACAGCCGACAAGTTTGGCCTGGGCCCCGCCCTTCCCAGGCCCTTCTCCCTTGGCCCCGCCCCTTTCTGGCTCCGCGGGTGCTCTCAGCAGAGGCTCCGGCCTCTTCTAACCGGCCTCTTCTAACCGTTCTTCTAACCGGCCTCTTCTAACCGTTCTAACAGCAGAGAGGGGATGGAGCTGCCGGTGAGTCCGCTGCTGGGGATCCGCTTCCCTTCGCCCTCCTCCCCCACTTTCACTACTGGTCCCAGGAGTGTCCCCTTCTCCCACACTCCCACAGATCCTCCCCCTCCTCCCCACCTGGTCCTCTCCGCCCTCTCCCTCGCCCCTCCATCCAACCAAGTAGTTCTGTGAACCCAGTCCTCTACTTTCTGTCTAACCACCCACCTCAGTGCATGGGCAGATGACTAGGGCTTTGCTGCCTCTGAGTGACTACCTGTTCTTCCCCTTCAGGCGATCGCCAGGCTCTAGTCCCAGTGACAGTTCCTTGCTGTTCTGAGGTCCTCTGAGTGAGCCCCTTTCAGTGTGTGTGTCGATTTGCCTCCACAAGTGATCACACCTGTATGCCAGTCTCTGTGGTTGGACCCAAGTCTTCGATCATCCATTTCTCCAACAGGCACATCCCCATGAACCCTCAGCAGCAGGTCAATCTCTGTTCCCTTCCTTTGCCTCCGGTGCCCCTTAGGCCAGGTGAGGGGACATTGTCCCGGGCAGTGGGAAGGAACTTTGTGCGGGGAGGGCCCTACCTCTGTCCTGGGCGTGCTTACCAGTCTTTAGGAAAGCTGTAGGGAGGGTTGAGGGTCTCTGGTCTGGCTCTCCCCTGCAGCTCCATCCATTTATTTCCCCGTCTGAAGTCCCTCCCTTCCCCTTCACCCTAACCCCTTGACCCTGCCTAGAGCCTAAACCCTCTTCTCTTGCCCTTCTCCTGAGTTGGGCCAAGCAGGTGAGGTCCAGCCACGAGGAACATGGAACTGGCATTCGGATCCTGAGCAGTGGGCATGGTCGATTCGACAGCAGCTGAATGCCTGGCTCCTCTTGGTCTCAGGTGAAGAGGTGTCATCCGAAGCCCTTGAATCTCGGCACTCTGTAGGTATCCAAGACAAAGGAGAGCAGCCCTGGCCCCGTCAGGTAAAACAGAGACAGTGCCTGAAGGCAGCCGTGACTCGGTCAGAGCGGCCTACGGTCCTGGAGCTCCTGGTAGCTGAGCTCCAAACTCTGTTCTCAGCTGTGCTGCAGGACGGCAGCCCTGACGCATGGTACTACCTGCTTGCGGTGCTGAATCTGCTCCCTCCATATCGTGCACTGCTTGTCGGTCACCTTGATTTGCTGCCTTTCCTGGAGCAGCTGTACCGCTGGGCACCCTGGGTCAAGTCCCAGCTCCAGCTGGACCTGCTAGTTGCCATAGACCAGGCCTTTCCCCGAGACACCTCTTTGTTAGAGGGCACCTCCCATGTTGACTGCTGTCCCCAGAAGCAGAGGTTCCATCGTAGGACTCCACGCCCAGCCTGCCCTATTGTGCAGGCTTGTTGGGGAGGGCAGCACGTAGATGAGGAGTTGTCCACGTGGCTGCGACCACTGACACTGCCTGAGCTACAGCACAGCCTGGGTATCGTTGGTGCCGAGATGGCCCTGGAAGAGGCCCAGTGGTTAGATGGCCTCAACCTCCTGCCCTTGGCACTTGCGACGGACATCCCTGTACAGTATGAAAGCAGTGACACTGGCAACGGAGAGGAGGAGCCCGTTGAAAGAAGAGAGACTAAGTAAGTGAGGGACCGTATCTGGGGCTTTGAGCAAAGGAGAGAAAGAAGCCAGTTCATGGGTGCCTCTCAGGTCACTTGGATGTCTAGAGCCAGCTTCATAATTGATGTTAGCGATTAGCCTGACCCCGAGCCAAGCTGGTGTGAGGCTACTTCTTGCTTCCTTTTTGTCTGCAGAATGAACCCAGTGTTCTCAGTGTTAATCCCCAAAAGGAAGTGCAGAAATTCATGAAAATCAAAAGTCAACCATGAGGAAGCCAAAGCTTCAGAAAAAACCTTGAGTTTCCAGAGTTTCTACACTTCTTTTGCAGACAGTGCTTAGTTCTTTTTCTCACTCGTTTGTAATCCCTGTCTTGCCTCTGGGCCTACCTAGTGCTGGGTGCTGGACGCTGGGTCCAGGTCCTTCCCTTGGGCTGCTCCTAGTGAGTGCTTGTCTGAAGGCCCTTCCCATTCATGTCTGTGTGAGCTAAGCCAGCTCCAAAGGCAGATTAGAGTTAGCAGCACTACCAGATGAGACTTTAATTCTGACCCTTCTAGAGTCTTCTTCCTGCCCTGCGAGCGTCGGAATCCTAGCCCCTGGAGCTATGATTTTTCTCCCTAATCTGGCTCTCATTGCTCTCTTCAGGGTTTCAGAATGCCTACAGAGACCCTCTCTTCTGAGAGTTCTCTAATTCTAGTCTTAGAATTTCTCCCTGTCCTCTGGCCAGTTTGTCTGTGACTCATTCACTGTCTGGGAAGAAGGGTAGTTTTACCTTAAATCAAGCTTGGCTTCCTCAATTCTTGCTCTAAATGCATGGATGGGTCAAGTTTTTCCTGAAGTCTTAGAGCCTTGACGGTAGACAGATAGGCAGGCCCCTGGGGCCCTGATGGAAGGTGGCCAGTGCCAACAATGTATGCCTTCAGTAACCCCAGCAGACCCCTCCTTTTTCAAAGACCTGCCCCAGGCCCTGAGTATAAGTTTCTTTTCCTGCAGGAACCTAACTGAAGTGAGAATGGGCTGAGATGTTGGAAAGGAGTCAAGTTCTTTGCCCTTTCTTTGGAGCTGGCAATAAACCTCTGAGGCCTAACTAATGTAGCTTAATTTGCACCATGTTCTCCAGAACTGGCTTCCTTGGCATTCATTCATTCAAGAAGTATAAGATATGGAATTTGACACAACATTGTAAAATGTCTATAACTCAATAAAAAAAAGTAAAAAAAGTATAGTGTATCTAATGTAGATCAGAAACTGCTGGATGCTGAGGATACAGAAATGGCAAAACAGACTCAGTCTCTTCCCTGGGGTTTTACAACAGCTTAGTTAAGGGAGATAGATGTTAAGTAAGTTGATATAAATAAAATATCATTACAATTTGTGTTAAGTGCTATAAAATCAAAGAATATTGTCTTTCCTCTGGCAGCTGCTCTGGGGTGTGTGTGTGTGTGTGTGTGTGTGTGTATGTATACACATCAGAGTTAGGGGAAAGCACATCAGGAGAGTTTGAGTTTAGATTAGGATTAGCAAAATATCTTGCAGGTTGGGAGGCAAAATAAGAGGAAAATTTCAAGGAGGAGAGAGCAGGAGGGGAGGGTATATCTCAGTGGTAAAGTGCATACTTAGCATGCACAAGGTCCTGGGTTTGATCCCCAGTACCTGCATTAAAAAAGTAGGGTGGAGGGAAGGAGGAGGGAGCAGTCAGTAGTGTTAAATGCTACTGAGGCAAATAAGAAAAATCTGAAAAATGCTGGGCTTAGCAATAAGGAAGAGGTTGGTGTGAGAGTGGTTTCAGTGAAGCTTTGTGAGGAGGAAGGCAGATTGTAGTGTGTTCAGGAGTGAATGGAAGATGAAGAACTGAAAATCACGTTTTACTGTTTATTCATGAAGCTTGGTTTAAAAGGGAAAGAGAGATTAGGACAGTAGATTGAAAGAATATTGATGGCTGAGCATGATTCTAAAAAAGGAAAAAAATGGAGAGATGTTCATAGCCCTTAAGACAGTGCTTGAGAAGTAGGTGCTTAGTAAGTATTTGTAGAGTGAATGACTAAATATAGGCTAACAGCTGAAGAAGAAGAAATTGAAAATACATCATGAAGAGGGGAAAAGGGATCCAGAGCACAAATGGAGGAATTAGCCTCGCAGAGAAGAAAGTCACTCCTTCCTCTCAAATTCAGGGACGAGATCAGGATGGGAATATGTACAGATACATGTGTGCGGAGGCAGCAGAACTTGAATGAGTTAGTTCATGGCTGAGAGCCTCAGTTTTCCCTGGGCAGGGATGGAGGCAGGGAAGGGGCTGGGACTGGGAGCTCAGCAGGGCTGGACATGGGGTGGAGGTAGGTGGAGGCCTGGAATCGTGGCTGAAGAGACTGCAAGAGGTAGCTGCCTGAGGACTTGTGCTAAGACATCAGAGCAGAGTGAGCCCACAGATGAGACTAGCTACCAGAAGTCTATAGAGGAGCTAATATGCCTGGTTCCAAGATCTTCTGAACCTACGTAGATCATGTAGGGCTTTAATTATGGAGGAAATGAACTTTTAATAGCAGTTACACCATTAAGATGTCCTGATCCAACATCAAGATCGTAAACCCTACTTTCAATGTGAGCTTTAGAATGGGATTGCACTGTTATCCCTGAGCTAACTTGTTCTGTTGATCAAGGTTTGGGCCAATTATACTATGACACTGGTATACTCTGACTGGTTAAGTCTGAGTTTAATTATTCAGAGAGTCTTTTTATTGGTCTGTTTTTGTGCTCTGAGTTCAGTCTAATCAGAATTATTAGTCCAAATAATTAACTTTAGATTTCTTAAGTAATTAATTTTAATATCAATTTTGTTGATTGGTGTGGTAGGAGAGTAGGAAGATTGACAGTACTAGTGCAGGCTGGAGGGGGCTAAAGGAGGCATCACTGGATCCCGGCTGGAAAGAAAAGGATGTGAAGTTGGAAGGTGGGTGATAATGGAGGAAGAGCAAGAAAAAGTCACAGGCGCGGAGATCACACAGGGTTGGAGGGCAGATATAATGGGAGCAATAGATAGGACATCTAGAAGGTTAGGAAGGTTGCCAGAGAGGAGAAGTCCAGGACTGTGGACTTGCAAGGTGATGAGTGGGACAGCAAAGTATTCCCATTATTTTTACTCAGTATTTTGTAACATCGACTTCATAGTAATCACAGTCAATCCAGAATGATTATTCATTGATCAGGAAGGGAGGGATTGTTCACTTACAGGTGTGTGTGAATATAGTTGCCTGACTGTGTCACCTCATGGACTGACTGGATTTGCTCAGTATGTGAGCTCCTTTTGGTGCAGGTGGTTGACAAACTCTGACTAGGCTATGTCAGGTCCTCTCGGACTCCTGATCTAGCTCCTTCATTCTCTGGTCAGCAGTGGCAACCTGACAGCTTTGCTCTACCTCTTCTCTCCTGATTTTTTATCCTGCAGGTCTCTGCTTGACTCTGAAGTTCCCAGGGAGAAGACCTTCCAGAAAAGAAGCACTGGCTTCTTACCTCAGACTTCTCTTCTGGGTAGCCAGATAGTGACTGTAATGAAGACAGAGAGATACCTGAAGAAGGTCCACTTTCTCTATCTCAATGTGGCTCCCAGCCGCTACTTTAGGTGAGAGCCTGTGTCCAGAGCCCTGTCCCGCTCCTCCCACTCCCAGACTTGGTCCTATGCTGTCTTCCACCTCTTCCTCCTCTCCAGACCTGCTTCTGCTGTCCCTTCTCTCCCTTCTCATTTCAGCTCTTCTCCCTGTTGCCTCCTCCTTCCCTTCCCCTCAGCCTCCTCTCCACTCTTCACCTCCTCTTGGCTCCCCTTTGCTCTCATAGCTTTTGGTCTTGGTCATTCTTTCCTACATTTTGCTCTGTCTTCTTTCTTCTACCCTAGAATGATGGAAACATTTGGTCATCGCCTCAGAGGGGAATTTAATGGTGATCTCTTCTAACTCTAGTGTAAGAATTAGGGGTTTAAATCTTTACAGTGTCAGGGAAGCTTTGTGTTTCCTAAGGTGTCCTGTTCTTAGACTGAACCCAAATCTGCTTTCTTTGAACTTCATTTTTTGGTCCTAGATTTATCTCTGTGCTATAAAAACAAGTCTCTTCCTTCCATATGACTCAAGAGGCATCCATTCACTTGCTTCCATTCGATCCAGATCTTAGTATTTTTAAAAGCTCTATTCAAGTCCCTTCTCTTCCCAGAAATAATAACAATTGCCATTAATCAGGCTTTTCTAAGTACATGCGTCATTTAATTCTTACCTAACAGGTAGGTACTATTATTATTTCCATGTATGAGATGAGTAGACTGAAGCATAGAGGTTAAGTAACTTGCCCAAGGCCACATAGTAAGTGGTGAAACAGGACTTAAACCTCGGACTGTCTTAACTCAAAGGCCCACACTCTTAAGCAATATCTGATATACACTCCCAGGGGGCCCTGTTTCCTGCGTACAACGACTAGTTTGTCCTGAACTTAGGTAGCACTAATGATCTGTACCATCCATTGATTTACTGATCAATTCATTTAACAAAAGTTCGCTGAGAGCATTGTACCAGTTATTAAGCAATTGTCTCTTGGCTCTATTTCTACTCTTTTCCCTCTGCTTTGTAATACTGGGGCTGGGACTCTGCAAATTTCATTTCTCCGTTTCAGCTCACTTCCTGTTAGGTTTTAGTAATAGGGGGTGCTAGAAGGAGACTGGAGAAGGGACTCTGTCCTTCCTTTACTTGCTCTTCCTGTCATGGCCTCAGAAATGGTCCTTCACCCTGGCAGCAGCAGGCACTTTCTGAATCAACCACTTCATGATCCTGGAAGGAACCAATGCCAACTGGGTAGCACCTTCTTGTCAGAGTTCTGAGTCACAACTCTGCAAGGCCCCCCCTCCAAACTCCTTAGATACCAGTACCAGCCAGGCAGCATCTCCTTCTTACAAATCCAAGTCCCAGCGCTACAGGCCACTCCTCCCAGCCCATTGCTTCTAAGAACCCGAACTTCTTTCCTTTGTTCCTCTAGTTGTGGGGCTGGCGTCCATTCCCTGCAGCTATTGCCTTTGTGCTCCCTTAGCATTCCCTTTTTGCTTTTTAGGTGTCCTCTGACACCTTGTCTAGAACATATTTTCTCTATTAAATTTACTTTCTTGAAATGCCTAATACAGTTTGTTTTCCTGACTGGACTCCGATAATCGTCCTTGGTATCATGAGTGGTCCCAGGAAACAATCCTCAAAGATGGGGTTCTGATATTGGTTTGGTAACGTCCTTGGCCCTGGACAGTACTGGGATCCTTGCTAACAAGAAATAGTATACTTGGAACCTGTCACCTGTAGTGGCATCACAATTAAATTGTCACGTGGTTGAAGGTGGTGAACTACCTACTGACACCTCGTGGCTGCTGCACTTGACCTCCCAGCGGTGGGTGATCATGATGGTAGCAGGGTGGGATGGGGTGCCTGTTGACCATGTGGAGAGCTTACAAGAAAGAAAGCTACAAGCTTAGGGCTTTCAACTGTCAGCTCAGTCATAATCAGAGAAGCAGCACAATCAAAGATAATTAGGCACACAGACAAGAAGCCATGAGGAAGAGAACTAGAAAGGCAGTGAGTAATTACAGGACCAACATCTGCCAAAGAAGGAACCCAGTGAAGGGAGTCTAGAAGCAGCACTTGGTGCTGCTTTTCTATTGCAGGAGAGGCAGAGGTGCATGAGTTTTACTATATGCTCCCAAAAGTCGGAGAAGAGGAAGTGAGCTTTCGACAGACTCAGAAAGCTGAAGAGCAGACGTTGCAGCTTAGGACCCACACCAAGGAGGGAGGTGTCTTCTGGTTTCACCTGTATTATAACCAGGGTCCCAGCTGGAAGCCCAGGGGGTTTAATTTGTGGGTTCTCTGATGATTTGCATATTTCATCCAGATATTTTGCCCAGTTTTTTCAGTTGGTCTCAAGTGGGAGTGTTGGTCCATAATTCTAGTGCACCATCAGCAAAAGTAGAAGCCTGGTGTTTTTTTGTTTCACTTTACTTACTTGCCATATAACAGGTTTTTGCAGTGTGTTTGCATTTATCAGAGTTTTCTTGTATTTGTCCTAGATTTTGATTCATACTTAGGAATATATTTCTTTACTTCTTCAGAGTCTTTGCTCTCACCTCCCTACCCTTACCAGCTCCATTTAGACTTGCATTCCCTCCTCCCCGGGCACTGCCAGTCTCCCTTTTCCTGCTCTCCCCGCTCCTCGTTTATTATCTGTCTTCTCCAGTAGAATGAGAGCTCTACTAGGGCAGGGATTTTTTGTTTGTTATATTTAGCAATGAATGTATCCTCAGGGCTTAGAACAGTTTAGCATAGAGTAGGAACACAGCCACGTTTGTTGAATGAATGAAGGAGAAGGAAAGGATGAACTACCACAAGTGGGAACAAATTTGGGGGGAATTAATGATGAGTTTAGCATAGAACTTGCTGTGTTTCAGGTACTCAGATGACATAGAGTTTGCGATGTTTTGGAAGTCTTGAATATATGAGTCTGGGACTCAGGAAGATCGTGACTTGCCCTGTTTACTCTCTGGCATCCCTTTTTACTCCAGTTGATCTGAGCTCTTTGAGGACAACTATGTAGTAGTTATTCTTATGTCCTCGTCTCCCATCATAGCACTTGGACAGAAGGGGTGGCTGATAAATGGTTTAACTGAGCTCCATAAAATTAGGGACCAGATTTTTCTTGTTCCCTGCCGTATCCTCAGCACCTGACAGTGCTTGGCTTAATACATGTTTGTAGAAAAAATGAATATCCCCAGCAGGAGCAGTGGCCAGTGGGAGCGGGGAGAACGGTCCCTGATGCCTGGCCCTGTACAGAAAGAGTCGCCCCTATTAAGAAGGTCACAGGGAAAGGAGTGTCCCCTGGGGAGAGTCAGGGCTCAGCTAGGGTAGGTAGCTATCCTGTGGGAAGCTTAGTGACCCAGTGGTTAAGAGAGAGGGCTTGAATCAGGTAGACTTGGTTTTAAATCCTATCTTCTTCCTTTAGTTGCCCTATGTAAAGTTATGCCTTCTCTTTGTTCAGTTTTCTCATCTGTAAATTGGGGATAATAGTACTTGAGAAGATCTAGTCACTGTCAGAAATGAAATAAGGCTTTCATATGACTTTATTCTGTTATCCATCTAAGTGCTTTCAAGTCATTTGCTTAGTAACATATCCTAAAAAATTGAGAGAGAGAAGAGCTGAAGGAGGACCATTTTATCCTTTAGGCATTATATGCATGGGACCTGGGACACACAGCTTTTAAAGGACTTAAAAATATATTTAGTGCTTAAAAATATTACTGGTTCTAAGTTATGAAAAGAAAAGTAAAAAAAATGCTTTATTAAATGTGCTCAAACATAGCATTACTCCAAACAGTTTACTGCAACTAGATACAACTATTATATAGTTACATATTAATTGTATTTAACGTGGGATATAGGTGCATTTCCCTGAAGTAGGAGACCTTAGTAGGATTTTAAGATGGCTCTGGAGGTACCTGTCTGGTTCACTAGGTGGCAGTTTTCCTCTTTATTGGCCTGTGTCTGGTCTTCTAGTTGCCCCTGCTTTTCCTCATCAGTTACTCCAAACAGCACTTCCCGATTATCCCTGCATGTTATTTCAGCATCTAGGGATATACATATTTTATAATTTCTAGGATGCACATTTTTCAACATCTCTGAAATTGTGATGCATCTTACAAATTGTATCGTATTAGCAGTACTGGAGTATCATATTGGCAGCATTTTTTACTTTAGTGATTTCATAAAAAAATGCAGCAACTTACAATTGGTGGCATCTTAGATTTGATGGAATGTAAGCTATTTGGGTCTGGAGATAGGAACTTCTTGGAACTGGCTAGGGGGCTTTTTTTTTTCTCCCCACCAATTTTTGGTTTCCTTTTTTCTAATATTTATTCCATCTTTCTGGTTTGAAGATCATTCTGATGTTCCCCCTCCTCCCACTCTCTCCTGCTTTCATTCCTGCCTCCTTGTTTTCCCCCTCCTGGCCTTCTTTTGTCCCTTCCTGGAGTCTGCACAAGTTTCCAGGGCTCCCACTGATCTGTGCTCTTTTTTAAAGGCCCTACAGCCTGACGGTGGTACCACCCGACAAGGTGAATCCTGAGCACTACATCTTCTCTCCCTTCGGGATCCTGCACGTCCATCCCGAGGAGGGCAGTGAGACGATGACGCTGGGTACCTGGCACCACCACTCTGTCCTCTGGCAACAGCTCCAGTTCATCCCATTCTTCAAGTATTGCCTTTTACGCAAGGCCTTGGCCTGGTAGGTGGCGATGGGTATGGGATTTGGGAAGAAGTGTCACAAAGAGCAACAGCACATTGTCACTGCCCTCCGATCCGTAGTTGGAAGAAGAGCGTGAAGTTGCAGAGGCTGCACCGGTGCCGGACCTTCCTAGGGAAGCATCTGCTCCTTGCTGTGCCCCACTTCGGAGCTGGGCTTCTGCATATTAGCAGGTGAGGTCTTCAAAACACAGCTTCACTGGACTTCCAAAAATTAGTTTACAGAAAGTAATAACGGGTTCATTGTAGAAACTTTGGAAAATACGAAAAAGCACAAAGGAAAAAATCTTTAATCTTACCGTCTGCACATAACCATGACAAACATTTTGTTGCATATCCTTGTAGTCTTTTTTAATTTGTTTTTTATTGAAGTGTAGTTGATTTACAATGTTAGTTTCAAATGTACAGCAAAGTGATTCAGTTATACATATACATATGCGTATCTATCTATATTTTTCAGATTCTTTTCCATAAATGTTATTACAAGAAATTGAATATAGTTCCTTGTGCAATACAGTAGGTCCTTGTTGTTTATCTATTATCCTTGTAGTCTTTTTTTCCGTCACATACACAAATGTGATCATAGTGCACATACCGTTAACTAACCAGGTCTTTTCTCTGAATGATATATTGTGAACATATCTATGTAATTATGTATTTCTCCATCAACTTGCCCCAGATCATACAATTATTAAGTGTCAGATCTGAGGCTGTAATGCAGGTATTTCCATCTAAACTCTGCTCTTTCAGTGGCATTGCTTGGATTATTGTTTTGTTTTGTTTTGTTTTTTGAGAAAACTTTACTCCTATTTTTAGTACTTTCTTACTTTCTCTGCACAGCTCCTCAGCTACTCCAGTTATCTTCTGTGATAGGAGTTGCAAACTCAGACACCTATGGGGCCCAAGGAGGAACAATGGAAGAAAGGCAGTGGGTTGAGTTCAAGACTTTAGGGAGTATGGGACTGCAGTCAGGTTGGAGATTGCACCTAAACGGAACACACTACTCAGTTCCAATCGACTGTTGCCATTGGGAATATAGGTCCAGCGTGTCACCCACATTATTTTTTCAGGATGACCTGGAAATCCACATTTTGTAAAATTTCTTAATTTTACCTGGTTAGCTCGGATTTTTATAAAAACACTGTGCTGGCCAAGTGTTAGTGGTCCATATGAAAACCTTTTCAGTCTGAATTTGGCCCATGGGCTACCAGTTTACAACCTTCACTCTAGATATCCTCCAGTCTAGCTTAATCATCATGGCATAATTGGGCTGCACAGATCTGAACTTAAGTCCTGAATACCAGCAAGGGACTTTGCTCTTTGAGCCTCAGTTTCCTGACCTGAAAACGAGAGAGAAAGGTTTCTGCTACTACCTAGTGGTAGTGAGAATTAAATGAGAATGTGACTATAAAGTACCATGTTCAGTGCCGCCATGGTGCTGAATAAATGACACCTGTTATGATCATCCTCTGCTTATTAGGGGTCCTTCGTTTTTTCAAGGATGTGTGGAGATGTGGCTTTTTCAGGGTGTTTGTAGGGGAGAATGTATAACAGAAGTGGGTTTCCCCTGGGATGGTCAGCCCATAGGGAAGTTGGGGTTCATCACCTTTGATTCTAAAACCTACCTGTCCATCTAGACTGTTAGGGCCCTCAGCTCCCCCAGTTCCAAGGAAGAAGTCTCTGCAGTGTCTCCTCAGTCAGACCTTGGGATCTGTTTGACCCTATCTTCTGGCAGAAAAGCTACTCAGTGTGAACATTTTCACATACCCCAGGCCTTTCCCAAAGAATTCCCCAGCCAGAAACTTCCTGGGCTTGAACTCTTCCAAAGACCTCTCAGGAGGAAGCTGTCACTGTTGGTCACTGGGAATATTATAACCTCTCTAAACTTTAACTCACTCTCAGGTGAGCTGGGCTGGGAAGACATCAAAGGTGTCCAAGGAGAGAGGGCAGAGTTGTTAGCTCTGACCAGCTTATCCCTTGATTCCAGGCTTCTGCAGGAGCTGCACTCTGTGCCCTGGCTCCCCCACGAACCAGATCGGTGCTACGAACTGCTGGACCTGCAGCGGGCTCTAGTCAAGGAGAACCACAAGGCTTTGCGGCTGCTCCGTCGCTGCCTGTATCTCTGCACATCCATCCTTCATCTGGTAAGAGACTCCAGTTTATCATGAACTTTTTCTCCCAGATGCACTCACCAGGGTTTCAGCCTTCTCTTGGCTTAAGCTTCCCTGTGTATTCTGGGCTCTGCACTTGGCTCAGAGCCCTTGTCCAGTCCAGTAACAGCAGTCTCTGCTCTGGGTGGATGGATTATAACAGGTAGGCAGACACTTGGACTCAGCCTTTCCCTAAGGCCTTGGAGCAGAGAGGAGAAGGAATGTAACAGTGTCTGTTTTTTCAGTTGTTTGTGCCAGGAGCATTAGGGGATTTGAGAGTTGGAATCCTGATCTTTCATGCTGCTGGACTTATCTCTGAATCTGTCTGGAACCTTTGGCAAGCCACCGTGGCTGGTAGAGGAGTCCTTCCTTTGTATGCCTACTTTGTGTCTGTGGCACATGCCCCCTGCCTAGGGCTCTGGAGGGCCCTGCCTTGTACTTGCCTCTTTCTCGTGGCTCATCCTCATAGTTTGTTGTTTATCACGTGGGGCTGGATATTCACACAGTTCTCTGGCTAATCACCATCTGCAGATAGTCCAGTTCTGAGAGACGGGACCCACTTAGATTTTATGAAAAATGGGAAATGGCATGAAGGAGGCCTGGCCTACCTTGCCTGGCTTAAGCCAGGTTTTGGGTCTTATATATCACTTTAAACTTCATCAGAGAAGGTTAATCACTAGGGACAGGACCCTAGAGTCTCAAAGGTGGCCTTGACCACAAGGAATTTCTATTCCCAGGAGGAATCAGTGACTTCTTTTGTGGATAGCCCTTGGAAAATCTTAAATTTTCCATAATAAATATTTTAAATCCTGTAATAATTTTTTTCACATGATTTGAAATAGTCAAATCCTTTCCCTCTCTCAGAATTCCCTATGCCCTCACCCTACTCTTCATTGTCCTTTTTACGTGCTTCCTGTCACCTTTTAACACACCACGTAATTTACTTGTGTTGGTAAGCCAAATGCCCATGATAGAATGTAAGGTCCACAGGAGCAGAGACCTTTGTTTTGTGCATTGGTGTATCCCAAGAATCTGGAGGGGTCCTTGCACAAAGAAGATGCTGCGTAACAGCTCCACAGGCTTGAGAATTTGAACTTAGCAGAGCCTCTGTGTGTCTTGAGTTTGTACTGATTGGACCCTTCCCTTCAGGGGTATTCTTTAGTTGTTTTCAAAGACTGGCAGAAGAGGACATTTGTAGTCTCTCTTCAGGAGGTTTAGGAGAGAGGGGCCAATGGCATTAGGAGTGTCAGCATCCTGGAGCCATAGTGTGGGACAAGAGGAGGCAGTGGGCTTTAGCGTCCAGACAGCAAAGCCTGGACCTGTCACTGCGTAAAACTGAACGGGGCCGGAGGTGGGGGCGAGCTGCTCCGCGGCCTTTCTCTACCTCCAAGTTCTTAAGTCTGAGCTTTGTTTTAATATTACAAAAATACTAGGAATAACTTTTCTATGGTCATAGTTAACTTACTTTTATTTTTTAAATTAAGGTATGATTTGCATGCAGTAAAGAAAATAAATTGTAAATATACAGTTTGCTGAAATTTGTGTGTATATATACACCCATGTAACTACCAGTGGGTCAAGACACAGAACACCTACAGTACCATAGCGAGTTCCCTGGTGCCTCTCATCAGTGCCCCCACAGGTAACCACTACTCTGACCTCTGTCACCATAGATTAGTTTTGTCTGACTTTGAATTTGATGTAAATGGAATCAGACAGCATGTGCCCTTTTTTGTCCGTTTTTCTTCACTCCACATTATGTTAGTGAGATTTATCCATAACCTTTCAGTAGTAGTGGTGCACTCTTTTGTATTACTGTGCGGTGTGTTACTGTACAAATACACCACAGTTTATTTGCTAATTCTCCATTGATGGACTTTTGTGTTGGTTCCAGTTTTTTTTTTCCTACTGTGAATAACGTGGTTATGAACATTTTTGTATGTCTTTTGATGGACAAAAACACTCATTTCTTTGGGGTATATATTCCAGGAGTGGAATTGCTGGAATAGGGTATATGTGTGTTTTGCAGTGCCAAACAGTTTTCTAGAGTGGTTGTATCAGTTTATATTCACATCAGACTTCTGGTTGTCCTGTGATCTCACCAGCACTTGGTATTGTCAGGATTTTTAATTTTAGCCAAACTGGTAAGTGTACAGTGGTATTTCATTGTGGTTTTGATCACCAGTGATGTCAAGCATCTTTTCCTACGTTTATTGGCTGTTTTGGTACCATCTTCTATAAAGTGTCTAACTCTTCCTTATTTTTTATTGGGTTGTCTGGTTTTTTCCCTATTAATCTGTAGCAGTTCTTTATATATTCTAGATAAGAATCCTATATTAAATATATATATACGTAGTGGCTTATCTTTTTATTATTTTAATGGTGTCTTTTGATAAATGGAAGTTCTTAATTTTCTTGACATTCATTTTGTCTTTTTGTTTTGGTTAGTGCCCTTTGAGTCCTGGTTTAAGAAATCTTTGCTTACCCCAAAATCTTGTAGATATTCTCCTATATTTTCTGCTAGATATTTTATTACTGTATCTTTTACATTTAGGTATATGATCCATTTCAAATTAATTTTTATGTATGGTGTAGGGTAAAAGTCAAGTTTTGTGTTTCTCATTTATTGAAAAGACTATCCTTTCCCCGCTGAATTACAGCTGTGTGTTTTTCTTAAGTCAGGTGATTGTGTATGGGTTGTTTCTGGACTCTCCTCTGTTCCGTTAATCTATTTGCCTGTCAATGTTACACTGTCTTAATTATTGTAGCCTTATAGTAAGTCTTAATATCTGGTATTGTAAATCCTATAACTTTTTGTTATTCAAGATTTCTCTGGCTATTCTAGGTTCTTTGAATTTACATATGAATTTTAGGACAGCTTGTCAATTTCCACAAAATAATTTACTAGGCGTTTTTTTAATTAGCTTGCTTTGAATCTATAGTTCAATTTGGGGGAGAATTGATATCTTAACAATATTTAGTTTCCCAATCCATAAACATGGGTCTGTTGATTTATTTTAATTTCTTTAATTATTCTTTAATTACTCTTAAGGTTTCCTGTAGAGGTCTTGAATATATTTCATTAGATTTGTTTCTAGATATTTGATTTTTTTTTTTGCTGTTATAAATGGTATTTTTATTTTATTTTATTTTATGTATGCTTTTAAATTGAAGTATAGTCAGTTACAGTGTGTCAATTTCTAGTGTACAGCACAATGTCCCAGTCATGCATATACATACATATATTCATTTTCATATTCTTATAAATGGTATTTTTAAAACATTATTACTTTCTAATAGTTGCTCTATACCATACACAAAAATTAACTCATGATGGATAAAAGACATTAAATGTGAAAAGAAAATCCAAAAGCTTTCAGAAGATAATATGGGATATTTTTATCATCTCAGGGTTTCTTAAAATGTAAAAATTATAAACCCTAAAATAAATGTGTCTTTATTAAAATTAACTTTTTAAAATGTACCATAAAAAGAATGAAAAGACAAGAAAATGCAATTTGCAGCCACTTTCTGTGCTGCCGTGTGGAGTGGCATGGAACCTGTCCCTGTTGGTAGTCATCCCAAAGGTGGGGGAGGGCCATGAAGGAGGATCAGTGATCATCATAGCTGACAACTGAATTGTTACAGAACAAAGTTTGTAATCTGTGCTAAAGAAAAGCAGGCTGCTACCCATTCAAATGTAGCATTACTGAGTAACAATAAATAATAAAATAGATTAGAAACAAATAAATAATGATATTAAATGTGAGTATTTGGTAGACACATCCATTTTTAAGGACGTTTCCATCAATTCGTAGTTTCCTAAGACATTTTTTTCATGAGTGAGTGTTGGATTTTGTCCAATCTTTTTTTTTTTCTTCTTGTTCTGTATAGATAATCATGGGATTTTCTCCTTTAGTCTGTTAATATGGTGAATTGTCAGTATTACACCACTTTTTCATTACTGGGATAAACCCATTTCCTTCCTTCCTTCCTTGTGTAATTTTTAATTTTGATATAATTTCAAACTTATTAGCAGAGTTGCAAGGATAGTATAATAAACTTCTACCTACCTTTCATCCAGATTGTTTTTGTCCCTTTTATGTTACCATTTATGCTCTTTTTCATTCTCTATATGTATATACATTATTTTCCTGAATCATGTGAAAGTGACTTGTGGATATCAAATTTCTTTACCCCTAGATATGCTAGCGTTGTTTTCATAGGAACAAGGACATTTTCTTTCGTAACTATAGTACACTCATAAAAAATTAGGAGGTTTCACTTGATACATTCTGTTATCTAACCCTTAATCCTTATTAAACATTTGCCAATTATTTCAACAATGTCCTTTATTACTGTTTCCTTCCTGCTTCCTTCCATCCAGAATCATATGTTGCATTTAGTGGTCACTTCTCAGTCTCTTTCACATGGAAAAGCTCCCCTGCCTTTCTTGGCTCCTTGTCTCACAGAGGGACAACTCTCCAGTGTGATGTGCATTCCAAAGGCCGCTGCCCCTCCAGATTAGATGGGGAACAGCGTTGGCTGAGATCCAGCTTGGCACCTTCCCTTCCTCATCTTGCTTCCCTCAGTCCCTTAGAAGTTTATTTCAAGAAGATCATTCCTTCAGTAAGTCACATTTCCCCCAATTCCTGTCTCAGGCTCTGCTTCTAGGGAACCCAACCTTAAAAAAAAAAAGAAGTATTAGACCTAGAGCATTCAATGTTTTATTCAAATATTCTATAGCCACAATCATTTTTCTTACCCACTTTACCTTTCAGTTTCTGAGAGATGTTAAAGGTCCCCTCCTAGGACTGTGGATTTGTTAACATCTCCTTGATGTTTTTTCAGTTTGCAACATGTATTTCAAAATCACGTTGTTATGTGTGTAAAGGTTCATAACACTATTTCTAGGTGACTTTATTGATATGGAAAAGGATTCATTCTTGTTACTACCTTTCTACAGGAGTTCTCTGATGTTTACAGCATCAAGTGTTTGCTTGAACTTTTTCTGTCTTTTCGTTTTCAAGCTTCCTTTGTTACTTTGTTTTATATGTTTCTCTTACAAAGAGCTGGAAAACATTTAGTCTGAGAATTTATGTCTTGCAATAGGCTCATCTCATTTCTTATGGTGACTGATAGGTTTGGATTTATTTTTCTCGTCTCGTTTTAGTGTTTCCTATCCCCTATGATTTCTATTTGATTCTTCCTTGTGTTTCTTGTCCTTTGTTGGGTTGATTACATTTTTGTTGCTATTACTGTCCTCTAATGACTTGGGTGTTATACATTTTGTTCTTCTGCTCGTTGCCCAGGAACTACGTACTGTGTTTGCTCATCTTTCTTAGTTTTAGAATCTTGATTTTATTCCTTTTCTGAGACTCCTACCTGGAGGAAGTTATGTAACTCAGTTCTGGGCAATGAAACTTAAGTGGAAGTCGCTGGGATAGAGAGACATATGTAACTGGAATGTCTTTTTGAACCTTTACTCCTGTCTTACTGCCTAACCCTTGGATGTAATTTCCGGTAATGGGAAAGCCACCACACCATGATGAGGGTGAAAGGCACATTAAAGGATGGAAGAGGAGGAAGACAGAAGGAACTTTGTCCTGATTGATATTATTGGGCCAATATGCCATACACAGATTACTTATTGCATTAAATAAATAAACCTTTTACTTGATGAAGCCACACTTTTTCTAGTTTTCTCTTACTTGCAGCTGAATGCATATGTAAGACATTTATCCACCTGCCCAATAGGTGTAGCTGTTCAACTTACATTTTTATAACCATGTCTTTTTCACGTCTTTCTCTTAAAGCACCTTCTCAGAGAGGCCTTCTCCAGTCACCCTGTTTGAGATTGCAAACCCCCACTATCACCAGCACTCCTCATCCCTCTTTCCCTGCTCTGTTGTTTTCTTCATGGCCCTTATCACCTTTTTACATACCATAGAAATTTATTATTTATGTGTTTATTGTATATTATTTATTTATTTTGTTTTTGTATCCCCACCCCACAAGAGGGTAGGGATTCTATTTCATTCATATCTGTATAATTCACTAGTATCTCTCTAGTATTTAGCATAAGGTATGCCATATAGTAGGTGCTCAGCAAGTCTTTGTTGAATGAATGAATGCCAAGTTGAAGCTGTGTCCGTCTTCTTTCCAAGCAGAGTAAGCACTTGGAAAGCCCTCTCCTCATTTCCTTTTTCTCCTCTCTTCCTCTCTCCATCCTCCGCCCTTCTCATTACGCTTACATTGATATCTCCTGGAATTTTAGTTCTAGATTGTTATGAACATTCTTGTTTTGCAGCTTACCCATTTAGAATTAACAATATGTTTCAGATTTCTTTGCTCATCAGAGTTTCTTGTAGAATACACTAGCCTTTTATATTCGTTTTCCTCTGCCAGAAATACACTATTGTTTAATTTTTTTCCCAAAGAGAATCTGTGGATGGTAAATTTTTAGAGTCTTTGTATATCTAAAAATGTCTTCATCCTCAAATTTCAGTTATACTGTGGCTAAATACAATATTCTAGGTTTAAAAAATGTCTTCAGAACCTTGCAGACACTGCCCCTAGTGGTGAGGATTTAAAAAAACGTATACTGATGAAGTTGTGCTTTGCTGTGTATTTGTATGCTCTGTCCTAGTTGTCACTCAGTAAGCCCTTCCAATATGCGGTGATACTTCCTTTCTGGGTCTCAGAAGACTGGTATCTGAGCTCAGGGTTAGCAGAATACAATTCCCAGACACCACTGAGTTCTAATCACAAGCTCTGTTGATCAGAAACGGTAGGAGAGGTAGCAAGGACAAAAGATCCATCTGGTCAAGCACATCTTTCTGGGATCTCCCAGTGTCTCTCTTCCTCAACAGGACAGGCCCAGAGAGGTGGCAGCTACCAGCAACCTTTGCAGGCTGAGGAACTTTCCAGATGTGAGAAGAACCCACCAAGAGGCTCCCAGACTTTTCCCCCATGTTCCCCAGCCCCCAGTGGACAGTCTGTGTCAGTAGCCAGAGACAGCTTCTGCTCTCACGTAGACTGCTGTGCTGGTCAGCAGGCCACATCACCCAGGCCTAGTGATTGGACTCCATGTCCTGGAATAATTGCTGAGCCTTGCTTATCCAGTCTTTCTTTTTCTTTGTCTAATCAATGCATTGTGAAGCTCTCTTTTTACACATGCACACATTTTCTATTTGAGGTCCACCCTGGGGACTTTTAGCAGACAGGCCTGGCCTATCGAATTAGCACATTGAAACCTCTCAATATATGTTCTCCATTTCACATCTTCTCTTAAAGATTTCTGGGGCCAATTGCTACTAAAAAGCAGCCCTTTATGTGCACATCCAGGTTCCAGGTTTCAGGCTCCAAGCTGTCAGAGCTTTGTACAGACCAGAGGGTGGCAGTTTGCTCTCCATCCCCCTTTCTGCAGTGTTTTCCACTCTCTCTGCCGGCAGATTCATGAGGATACATACCACATGCAACAGGGCCTGCAGGAGCGAGTGAAAAATTGCAAGAGAATCAGGACTGGCCAGGGCTCTGTACACCTTCAGAGGGAGCAGTGCCAGCAGCTGGAGCAGAAGCTGCAGCAGGCAGAAGCCTGGCTGCTGCGTATGGGACAGCTGGCCCGCCTGGTGGACTACATGGTTTGCCAGAACCTCGTGTCCATCATAGAAGAGGAGATCACCTCTTTCGTGGCCAACATCCTGCAAGTGAGGTGGTGGGTGGCATGTGTGGAGGTGGGTGGGCAGGCAGGGGCCAGCCTGAGGGGCGCGGATGCTGACATTTAGGCCCACGACCTCTCCTGACCCTTCTTTACAGGCCCCAAGGCAGAAACCCTTTCTCTCAGCACAGCTGGTCTTTGACAGTTGTGGCCAGCTGTCTCATGAGCCGTGTATTGAAAATATGATCCAGGTTATAACTGGGAGCCTAAAGTCTGTTGCAGCTTCCACCCTGAAGGTATTCTGGGTGGGGCCAGGGGCTGGCTGTAGGAATTCCCAGTTCCTATCCTCTGTACATTCTGAAACTCTCAGCCTGGTCTGAACCCTCATTGTTTGCTATTTCTGCCCTTTCTCCATACCTGGGCGTGAAGGTAATGCAGTCTACAGACCCGAAGACCTCCTGGGATCCCCTATATTCTGAAGGTATTTAAGGAGCCCTAGGCAGAGGGGAGGAAGGGGGAACGGAAGAGGGGAATGAGGGAGAAGGGCAGATGCGGCGTTGTGACGCCAGAGTCAGGCCTTGGATGTGGATGGAGCAGCTCTAACCTGCGTCTGCACACATGTCGGTGGGTACGAGGGTTGGGGCATGTTTTTGCTCATTCACTCGTGTGCCTGTGTGTGTGTGTGTGTGCAAGCAGTGAGTGTAGTGAGGGGTGTGTGAAAGAGTGTAAATGAGTGCCTTGTCCTCTATTGTTCCTCCTAACTCCACGAGGTTTTTCTCTTATGTCATAATTGCATTTCATTTGCTGTTGGATCTGATTGCTGAGTTAATTTGTACTTGTTTGAAGAACTCTGCCTATTCAATATTTGATTTTTTTTAATTTCATACAGAATAATTCATTGGTAATATTGAGCTATTTTATGGTTACCAGTTATCATTGGTTATCAATCCTCATACTTGTTAATCATCACTGAGGAAATACACCTTCACATTTCCTTTATTTGGAATACTCATGCTGTCATAAATAAACTCATTAAATGCATTCAGTCACATCTGACATGGAGATGCTTTTTCATTTTCCCATTCAACCAGTATGTTTTCATTAAGATGACATAAAGATGCGAAGTTAATTTCAGGAAGTAGGTGACAAGGAAGGACAAGGTTCATTGAAAGGAACTCATGTCGTTTACAAATCACACCATTTGGTGCACATTTTTTTCTCAAATGAATCTAGGTTAATCTAGAGACTTTTGATATTTGTCTTATGTGATACAGTGGAAAAAGGAAAGGCTCTGAAATCAGACACGTTAGTTTACTAATCTGTAAAATGGGAATAATAAAAATACCTAACTTGCAGCATTATTTTGAAGAATCAAAGAGGTAGTATGTCTAGAATAGAGCTCAGCCCATAGTGGTACATACAACAAATAGTATCTTCTTACTATTATTAGTATTAAAGATGTAGATAAATCATACATTTCAGTGTTTCCTCATTATTTGTTGTACTAACTCATACTAGGAATATATTGTAGTATTTTCCTTCGAATAGCAAAACCAACAAACAAAAACCGCTTAAACTTTTATTCAAAATTCTAGTGAAAGTAAGACTATTTTTTTAAACATTTTTTATTGAGTTACTGTCATTTTACAATGTTGTGTCAGATTCCAGTGTAGAGCACAATTTTTCAGTTATACATGAACATACATATATTCATTGTCACATTTTTTTTTTGCCATGAGCTACCACAAGATCTTGTATATATTTCCCTGGGCTATACAGTATAATCTTGTTTATCTATTCTACATATGTCTGTGAGTATCTACAAATTTTGAACTCCCAGTCTATCCCTTCCCACCCTCCTCCCCCTTGGCAACCACAAGTTTGTATTCTGAAAGTGACACTATTTACCTGCAATGTCTTAGATCATCCCTTCTACTTTTAAAAGAGCAGCAGGGACTGATGTATTTAGGGATCGAATGTCACAATGCTTGTATCTTTCAAATGGTTTAGGGAAAATAAGATGGAAAAGCAGTGTGGCAAAATGTTAATAATTGTTCAATCTAAGTGAATGGATAAAGGGGTTTGTAGAATCTTTAAAGTTTTCTACATGTTTGAGATTTTTCAAAATCAAAATTTGAAGGAGGAAAAAAGATCAGCATGGAAAATCAAATTAATATGGTGGAAGAACCAAACTAAAGTTCTGATTTAGGATTTTCTGAAAGTTCTTCATGAAAATTAGAGTAATATTCAATAAAAGTAAACATGTAGCAATTAAAACACTACTAGTAGTCTTTAAGAAACATGTATCCACCTGAGAAATCTTTTAAATTAGGTAGAATTCACATGGCATTTTAACCACATTACAAAGTGATTTCAGTACCTTTACTTATACACACAAAAAATGAAAACCAAGCCCCTTACCACAGAAACTTAACACCTTGACTAGATTCTAGTCCCTAGAAGAATACCCAATGTATTATTCATAACCATGCTTACAACACAATCTATACATAAGCTATGTTCTCCGGCATTTTTGAGAGGATAGTCTTAGTACTGGAACATTTTGAGACCAAAAAGAGATTATTAATATTACTATCTGATGCTCTTATAGTCGTATCAGGAATATTCTGCAGTTTAAAGCTGAGAAAATGCAATCAGATAATCATTTCTCTCACCTGACAAGTGTCAAGTTCAGGAACTATTATTGTAAAGTTCTTACATTAATTTTAGTATGACAGGATTCTCCCAAGATCAGAATATCTTTTTGATGTTTGTGATGAGATAAATCTGTAACCCTAAAAAGGGGCAAAGGATTGCTTCATTTTAATTATGAAATCTTTTGATGTACATTTTGTTTGGGATGGTGTTGAAGTTAGCCTAAAGATACAATGCAGAGAATGAAACTGTCATTCCTCTATATTTTTCCAGGGGGCTGCATGTGGCAGGGGGGGAATCTCTTGAGAAGGTGAGGTGTGAATAGTATCACCAGCAAGAGGAAGTCTAGATGGAAGTAGTGTAGCATGAGTGGATTCACACATGAGAGGGGACGAGAGTTTTTTCCTTGCCACTCTGTATGAAATTCTGAAGAGATGAAAAGTCATATAAATATGTTTAAGATACTTTTCTCTGTGTGAAATGTCTGAGTCACTCATTCAAGTAAACATACAGTAAATATCTACCATTATTTAGGTCTTTCAAAGTTGGATGGGTAATTAAAAATGCAAGCTCCATGTTGACTTATATGTATTATACTAATACATGTGTTCTTTGAATGGGAGCCCAAGTCCCTCAGCAATGACAGGTAACTTACGTATCTTTGACTTAGTTGATATGAGTTCTCTTTATTTCACTTTTACCTTGGCTAAGAAATTATTAGTGTTTTGTCTTGTTGGGCTATTGCACCTGCCGAATCACGTTAAAAATACACTGGCTTTTCTTTCCGTTGCTCAGAAGCACACGTGAACTGACCGTACAGCATCGTATTGATTGAGTGCTCTAATGGGTCCTGGCACCTTGAGTCACAGTTCTTCAACCTTATGTTTGTTTTGGAGCTCACAAAACAGAAAGTTACCAAATTCAAAGGCAGAAAAAGATGTGGCAGCACCAAGCTTCAGAGAAATTGAAACTTGAAAGTCAAGAAAGGAGCCCCTGCCTCTCAGAATGCTGATTGTCCTTTCACCTCTACTTCTCTCTGTGCTGCTTCCCAGAGAATTCCCTTGATTCTCTCCTAACACTCGCTGACTCTGCTTCCTTTGAACTTTCTGCTCCCTTATAACTATTGCTTCCAAACAACTTCGACTTTCTATGGCACCAGCTCAATTCTTGACTCTTTATGACCTTTCAGTTAAGTTCTCCTGGCTGTGTGACCTTGTTCAAATTTTCAAGACAAAGAATAGAATTGATTCAGCCTAATCTATAGAGAACCACGTATCCATGAGCTCTGGCAAGGGGATGGGTCATGGCACAAGTCAGCTAACTTGGCTATAGGTCAGAGCGTGTCCTCTTAGAAGGGTGTATGTGGTGGAGGGGGCTCCAGTCTTCAGCTGTGCTTGTACCGGCTACAAATATCTGTTGTATGAGCCTAAATGTGCCAGTTGGTTTTGGATTACAGAATCCTAACTCAAAATTAGGTCAGTGAAAGGGGGGATTTGTTGGTTCCCATAACTAAGAAATTCATGGTTGCAGCTGGATTCAGGGCTCAAGCAGTGTCGTCAAGTCTTTATTTCTTGCAGGCTTTTGATTTCTTGTGTTTGAATTCTGAATTACTGAGAATGCTTTCAGCTGGAAGTAACAGAAGATCTAAGGGGGGCCTAAACAATAAAAACAATCATCTCACATAACAGGAAGTCTCTAGGTAGCTTCCAGGTTGATTCAGTGGCTCAAAACGTCACTAAGTAGCAGGCTTTTTATACCCTTCCCCTACTCCTTTCTGGCCGTAGCTCTCAGTAAGAGCAGAGCCTCTTACAAGGGGAGGGGAGGCTGCAATCAAAACTCTTTTTCATCCCCAGTCTTGCTGCCTTGTAGTTGCAAGACAAGCTGCAGCTCCAAGCATCCCATCCTCAAGCAAAATCAGGTTAAAAAAAAAAAAAGAGGGTGGGGGTGGGGTGAGGCAAGGTTAGAGAGAGAGGTTCTCCTTGCCTGACTCACATTTTATCAGGAAAGGAAATCTCCAGAAACTCCCCAGCATGTCTTAAAGATGTTAATCCATTTTCTTCTGGTATTCAAAGTTGTTCTCAAAAAAATCTGATAGTAATCTAATTTTATTTTCCTGACAAATCACTTGCTTTTTTTGCCTAGATACCTAAAGTATGTTTTTTCTTTTTCCTTGCAGTTCAGTAATTTTAGTGGGATATGTCTTGGTAGTGAGCATCCTGAGGCAGTTTTCTCAGGTATGCACCTTCAAAATATAGTTTTAAGTCTTCTGTATTTCTGTCCTCGAATTAAAGTTTTTAGTATTGTTCTCTTCCCATGCTTTGGATTTTTCTTCAGGTACTCCTGTTACGTGTATTTTAGATCCTTATCATGTATCTCAAATATATGTCCTTTTCTCTTGAATTCTTTAAAAAAAAAAACTTCTTTGTTTTTTATTTTGCAATTATCCACATTTTTACCTTCTGTTTTTCTTAAGGCATTATTAATCTGTCAAGTTTATTTGCTCTTATCTTCTTTTGTAGTTCAGTTTCCATTCTAAAATGATTTTTTCTTTTATTTCTAATTCTTTCCTGAGTGGCATTGCATAATTTCTGAGTTTTTCTAACTGATACATGTTTTTCTTTCATGGATTTTGTCGTTTTTCTGTGTCTTCGGCTCATTCTGAAATGGGCTTGTTTTGATCTACTCCCCATTCTCTCTTTACTTTCGCTGCCTTTGTATGGGGTTTGATGTTGATACTTCTGTTGTTCATTTGTAAAAAGTTGGCTGGTGTTAACTTTTAGGAGACGGCTTCGTTCAGAATAGTTTTCTATCCTCCCAATTTCCTTTTCTGTTGGTTTTCTGTAGTGTTCCAAAAATGGTGGCTAGCTTTCTGAGATTGCCTGGTTTCGGTGTCTCTCTTCCACCTTTATCCAGACCTTTTCTTTCCTTTTTCTCTATTGCTTCCATTCTGCTCAATCTTTATTTTACCCTCAGCAGTTTCACCTCAGTGCTGTGCTCTGCCCCGGGAGGGAGCCCTTACCAGTTGACTTCAGGAGTTTATCGAGCATAGACTGCTCCAGCACCTGCGGACCCTACCCCACCTGCTACTGGAGCGGGCACAGCCCCTTCCCCTTTTACCTGCTGTTCTCAAGTTAGCTCCCTGCTTTCCAAGAAATGGCTGTTGACTGTTTCGGAGTTTTCCTGGTCTCAAGTCAGTCTGATGTGTCACTGTCTCCTCTGCTTCCTTCCCACAAATGGTGACACCATGTGGGTCTTGAGGCTGTAGGTGCTTTGTCCCCACCCACTTATATTTAAGAGTTTTTGAGGATTCCTTGTCTTCATTTTGTTAAAAATGTTATCCTAATGGGATTTTGGTTTTACTGTCTAATTGCTCTGTCAGTTTTATATCCCAAATTCATGTGGGGATTCGGGATAGATTTCAAAACTAAGCTGCCCCTTCCGCCATCTTCCCAGAACTCCTTCTAGCATTATTTTTAAAGGATCATTCCCGTTGTTATGTGGGGCAGAGCCTGCAAGGTGGTAGAGGTAAGGACCAGAGCAAGGAGACGAGTTAGAAGGGTACTGCAGTAATGCAGCGAGGTTGTATGGTGCGCGGGGCTGGGGAGAGCGGGCAGGCGATGGTAAGAGGTGCTGAGAATGGGTTGGATTCTGGGTATATTTTGAATGTAGAGCCAATGGGATCTTGTGATGGCTGAGTGAGTTGTGTGTGGGAGGGAAGAGTCAAAGATGACTTTGAAATTTTTGACTGAAGCACCTGGAAGAATGGAGTTCCCATTTACTGAAGTTGGAGGCCTGCAGGAGGAACGATTTGGAGGAGGGAGAGAAATCAGAGCTCATCTTTGGCTCTTAAAAGTCTGAGGTGCCTGTTCAACATCTGAGGAGAGGTGTGGAGCAGGCAGTTCTTTAAGTGGGATTGGGATTCAGGGAGAGATCTGAGCTAGACATAAATTTGAGAGCAAATAGATGATATTTAAAACTGTGAAACTGGATGAGTTCTCCTAGAAGGTGAGTAGAGATGGAGAAGAGATCTGGGGCCTGGGCCTTGGGGGTTGGGGTTGGGCGGGGCACTGTGGTGTTCAGGGGCTGGTAGCATGGATCTGATTTCTGAACATTTTGATTCCACACTTCTCCCTTTTTTGTACAAAATTTTTAACATAAAAACTGAAATTGGCAATTAACCGGTTTTTAAGAAGTTAAGAGGGAGGCCAAGTTCAAGGATATTCCTTCAGGCAGATACTGAGGACTGGCTGGCTCAGCTTCCTTTCCCACCCCTTTCTCTGCTCTGCAGAGGCTAGAGGGCTACACACTGCACTTCTCAGCCCCCCGTGCAGCTGGGAGTCGTATGTGATTTAGATCTACCAGAGACTTCAGCTCAGAACTGAGATAGGTAGGGGAGAGAGGCAGGACATACGCCATCCATTCTGCTGGTGGGATCGTGGTCATTTGTGATTACGTGCTTGTGTCGCTGGCTGTACAGCAGTGACATCCCACTTTTCCAGGCAGCACCAAGCCCTAGACACTTGGCCTAGAGTGTTTTTGTCTTTCAGCTCTTCCAATTATGCACAACCCACGTGATATTCCATAGTAATTCCCTCCCTGCTTATCCTAGCTGGAGTAACTTCTATTCTCTGCACAGGAACCCTAACTAATAAATTCTCTTGGGTCTGGTACTGTGTTTATGATGTAGATGTACATGTGAACTGACTCATGAGCAGGGAGTATGTGTGTGTGTGTGTGTGTGTGTGTGTGTGTAATGTAGGTGAACACATTCAGGATAGAGGGAGAGGTTGGTGTGGTCCCTGGAGGGCACTCATGGACAATTACGGCATGTACCCCACTAGAAGAAGATGAAGAGGAAGACTCGGACACGGAATTTGTGATGCCCAAGTTCCAGGGCCAGCACAGCGATGCTGTGGACATCTTCTGTGGCCCGAATATAGGATTGGTATGGCCCTGGAAGACTCACACAATTACTGAAGCCCTGGAGGTCCGTGGGTACCGGCTGCGGGGCCAGTACCTGCCCCCCAATTATAAGCAGCTACAAGAGGACCTGGACAACAACCCTCGAATCCAGCAGGCACTGGCTGTGCAACAGGCCCTGCTAAAGGCAAGAAAAGAGGTTTAAGGAGTGGGATACTGGCCACCAGTTCCAATCACAGCCACCCACGTCTGCCCTAAGCACCTTGTCTGCCCCTAGGGCATGCTGCAGGAGGTGCAGGAATTCTGCAGGAACCATCACTGGATGACAGGCATTTACGAGTTCTTGCAGGCCTGGGGGCCTCAGAAGCTGGAGTCTATGAGAGGCTGTCCTATCAAGAACTACGGGATGCTGGTGAGCTGCCTGAACGATTGGCAGGGCCGTGTCTCCAGTATACCCTGGGAGTTGATCACAAAGGGCAGGTTGCTACTGCTGAACTGCCACCGCGTACAGGTAGAGTTGGGTGAGTACTTATCCCCCCTCCTTTCCTTCAGCATCCTTACCTTCTCCACATGGCCCTCCTTGCGCCTTCAGTGTCGTCCGGGGACCTTTGGGGCCGGCCCCTCCTCATTGGACTTGTGGAGCCTCCTAAAGCCCCAGGTCCCAGCCCCTTCCCTTTGTAACTGAAGGTGTGATCACTCCAGAGGACAGCCTCTCCATCTGTTCTGGCTCTGCCCATTCCCCATACTCCTTAGGAATCATGTTCCTGCACCTGCAACTTTCAATTCTTATGGTGTAGAAATAGTTCAAACCAGATGTAACTGAGAAAAAGCCTTGCCTGCTCCTTAGGCTGAGAGAATTCTGTTTCTTTACAGAGATTCTCAGGAATCAGAGGTGCCCTCTCCCCACACGTAGCAGTCAAAATTGACACTACAATTTGCATGTGTAAAAAAGTTACTCCCTTTAACTGATCTTGGCTTACTCCGAAATTCTGCTGATGGTGAATGAAAAACATTCAGTTGGCCCCCTGTATCTGCACGTTCTGCATCCGTGTATAAAATTCAAGAAGTTCCAAAACTTGAATTCACCACACACTGACAACTATTTACATAGCATTTACATCATATTAGGTATCATAAGTAATCTAGAGATGACTTAAAGGATACAGGAGGAATCGCTTATATGTGGAATCTGAGGGAAAAAAAGAAAGAACACAAATTAACTTATCTACAAAACAGAAACAGACTCACAGACATAGAGAACAAACCTATGGTTACCAGGAGGTAAAGGGGATGGGAAGGGATAAATTGGGAATTTGAAAATTGCACCTTTTGGGGAGTGATGGAAATGTTAGCTATCTTGATTGTGGCAGTGGTTTCATTGGTGTATATACATCTGTCAAAATTCATCAAACTGTACATTAGAAGTCTGTGTAGTTTACTGTACAGGAACCATACCACAGTAAAGGTGTTAAAAAAATAAAGTATACGGGAGGATGTACATAGGTTAAATGCAAACACTACGTGGTTCCTCTCCTACCTGGGCTCCCTTGAACAGTGAATGACATAATCACCCAGTCTTGTGAATTGGCCTCACCAGAAACGGGTATCCTTTACTCTTCCCTCTCCCTCACTCCACCACACCTGACCTGTCACCAAATCCTTTCCATTTTTCTGCCTCCTTAAATATCTCTCAGGTCTGTTCTCCATCCAGCTCTGACTTCTAACCTTGATGAGCTCTGATGTTTTATCCATCCATTGCGCTCTTTTACCACACGGTGTCACTGTTGAGCTCCTCTGTCTTCACCTGCCTGGTACTGTGGTCCCATCGCAATGGCCTAGTTACTGTCATAGGCCAGTGGGATAGTTTGAAAAGCTAAGTTCACATCTTTGTGTTCTGTTCAACCTTGGGTGCCCCTCGAAGATTCCCCCTCTCTTGGTTGTCTCAGTCTCAGCTCTTGGTGCCGAGTCCTGTTGGTTATTTCCTCCAAAGCTCCCAAAGGTCCATTCCCAGTATGTCTCAATCTCTGCCCCTGGAATTCACTATCCCACTTTGTTGCAGGCGTGCTCATGGAGGATAAGTCAATTTACTTTTCATCCCTCAAAACATGAAACGTAACAGAATGGAGCCAGGCTCCCAGAGTTTGAATCCTTGCTCTGCCATCGTGTGATGCTGATGAAGTTATTTAACCTCTCTGAGCCTCAGTTTGCTTATCTGTAAAATAGGGACAATAAAATAGTATTTGGCATGTAGTAAGCACTCTGTAACTGTATTTCGTGATGCACTGCATATCCTACTTCTGTATTGTATTTTGCTGTTCTGTACGTATTTTATCATCTCTGAACTTAAGAGGTGTATTATGACTGATGGCATGTCCAAGTTTAGATGCCATCATTTTTGGGGTTTTGGTGATTTATTTAAAATAATGGTGTTTCTTACAATCAGTGGTATCTTGGGTTTGATGAAGTATCAGTATTATTCCTGTCCTTGGAGACAGTGGAGTTGTTCATATTGCCAAAGGCAGCTTCCAAGGTTATCTTCTAGCCCCAAATCCACCTGACAGCTTCTTTCTTTTAATCCTTAAAAACAAAAGACAGATTACACACTCCTCTTGGTACCTCTTCTACTGGAGCAGAGGCAGTGAGACTCCCCAGACAGAAAATTTTTGTCCCTGGTGGGCATTCTGCTATTCATGGACACAGCTTTCCTGTGCCTTCGCATGTGCTTTCATCCACTTGGCGTGCCCCTTGGAGCCTTAACCACTCAATACATTTGGCTCCAATGTCCACTTCCCAAGGAAGCCTTCCCCAGCCTCCTCAGGCCTCCTCCCCCTTCACTGTGCCAGGTTGAGGGCTCCTTGAAGAACATTTATCACACTGATAGGTGGTTGTCCATTTATACGTCTGTCTCTGCCACCATGTTTTGAGCTGCTGAGTGGGAACCCTTTCTATCTCATTATTCTTGTCTACCAGTGGCCAGCCCAGGCCCCAGTGCACTGCAGCTGACTGGACACTGAGCAGGGGTCCAGTAAGTATTCAGTGAGCAAGGAAATGAATTCATGGTCTGCTTCCCCTTCAACCTGCTCCTACTCGGGACCTCCAGCACTCCCCCAGCACTGCAACCCCTCATGCCTTCCTCTCTTGTGTCTTCAGAAGCCAAGCTGGAGAACATCAGGAAGGACATTCTTGAGCAGGTACAGAATGAGTGCCGGAACCGCAGTCAGCAGCTGATAACAGAGCTGACAGATTTCATGAAGGTCTTCCAGACCATCAACTCAGACATCCACGCCATCGCATGGTGCTCCCAGAAGGTGGGTTCTCCACACCCTTCCTTCCCAGCTTGTCCAGGGCCCGCCCCGCCTCATGCTCAGCACACTTCCTTCAGGTCTCAGCTGAGCTCCCGGTGGGGCTTGCTGCTCTTCAACTGTGCTCACATGTGTGACCTGCCCTCACCAATTCTCACCCTGTTTGTGAGACCCTCGGTTTCCTCCCCTCAGGGGGAGGCCCTGGTGTGATAAGACAGATACAGTGCTGCTTTCAGAGACAGAGTTCTGCTCTCTGGACAGTCAGGTAGGGGGCGATTGCCCTGTCATCAGAGTTGTTGGGGGAGGGACTGTGCTGTCTTTGGGGAGACCTAAGTCACATGGGGGACCTGATCCCAGACTGCCCTGATCCCGGTTGGTTAAAAGGTGCCTGCTGGCTTCTGGAGACTCTAGCAGGTGGGAGTGCCCCCCAGGGATGGGCGCAGAGAGGTGCGCAGGTCTCATGCTAAAGTCCCTGCAGTTGAACGAGGCCAACGAGAGGTACATGAAACTGGAGGAGCGAATGGAATACACACGGTCACTCTATGAGCTCATCCGCAACCGCTTTAGCCTCTTCAGTACTGAGGATGAGGCGCTGGACATCTTGGTGAGAAGGCGGTCGGGAGTTGCCGGTCCCTCTCGGTGCCCCTCCTCCACAACCACGTCTGCTTGACCACCGGCTGCCTGCCTTACAGCTTCTGGACACGTGGGAGGCATTCCAGTTTGAGAAAAGCCAGGCCTCAGAGTTCCTGCTCAGCAAGCGACATGCCATCATGCCCAAGCTGCAGCAGCTGATGGCAGCGGCCCTGGCGGAGCTGGAGGGCCTGATTGAGAAGGCCCTTTCCGGTCCCTTCATGGACCCTGCCCAGGAGCAGAGGAGCACCGAGCGCCATCTCATCTCCCTGGAGCGTCAGTTCCAGAACACAGCCAGCCGCCTCAGCGAACTGCACCACGCCTATTCCACCTTCACTGGTACCGGGGGTCCCGCCCCTTCCACCATCACCCTGAGATGGGCCCTCCCACTGAGATCAGGGTTGAGACTCAGGGACCTGCATCCCAGGTGACCCTAAGCAAGACTCAGGAATCACATGTCTTCATTTTAGTCCCTTTTATAAATGAAAATTGTAGTACAAAATCTAAATACATTGGGTATGTCAAGTGTTGTGCTTAGGGTTGAGATACCGGGGGCTCACAGTCTGGAAGGGAAGGCAAGTAGGTGAGTGTTCCACCAGAATGTGATAGGGTCAGAGGACTGAAAGCCTGTGCAGGAGAAATGTAAAGGTGTGCTCATTGTAAATCTTAGCCTTTGTGTAGCCTGTTCAGCCCAGCCCTACACCAGGCAGCAGGCCCCCGGTAAAGGGGCTCTTGGTGCTCCACAGCCACTGCTTCCAGCCAAGGGTCTATAAAGAGGTGGCTGGTGAGGGCCTCACTGGCCCATACGAGGAGGCAGGACAGAACTACTGGCCTTAGCCCTTCTGTGCAGTGGTGCAGCTAGGCTGGTTCTCTTGTGCACGTAAAGAACTTGTGGGCTCAGGTTTCTTTTCTCAGGTACTGTCACTTCTGTCAGTCACTAGGATCCCTTGGAAGGACGCATTCCTTCTGAGTTGCCTCTTGGCTAACTGCCGACTATTACCATCTCTGCCTGTGGGATCCTCAATCCCAGGGAGGGCCCTTTGACCAAATGTGAGGTGGAGGACACTCTGGGACCGTCCTCAAACAAGGGATTACTCTTTGATCAAGTATTGGGAGACCCTCATCCTCTACTCTGACTGATACACACTACAGACCTTGACCTCTCCTGCTGCTGGTTGGGATATTTGTGGGTCTCTAGCTAGATCTTTTGATTTCAGACAAAGGAAGATTTAAAAAGTTTTAATTTACTTTTTTTTGTTTATGTGTATGTGGGGTTTTGTTTGTTTGTTTTGGTCAGATCAGAGCTCTGATAGCCTGGTGATTCTCAGTCTTTAAGTATTCTGACTACTGTGATTAATGATGCTTACATGATAAGACACATGATTCTCAGCATTTGGGTGTAAATTTTCCCTTTTTCTCTCACTCAAGAAGGTACACTGGAACTCAGGTGAATGAGACTGACAGTTTTATTGTAATATTCTTTTTTAAAAAATCATTTATTTATTTTTAACAGAAGTACTGGGGATTGAACCCAGGACCTTGTGTATGCTAAGCACACACTCTACCACTGAGCCATACCCTCCCCATTATCATAATATTCTTGAATCTGGTCTGATGTCTTTTCAGCAAATTGCAAACCTCACTACTATAATTGTTATTAATTACAAATTACTTTTGACATGTATCTCACAACTGAATGTAAATTTTGGCTAAGCACTAATGCAGTAACTTGTGAGATGAATGAGGGAATAATGGCCAGAGGCAAACACAATAGGAAGCATCACCTTTTACCCCTATGGTCCTCCCTGTGGGCCAGGTCTCTTCTCATAGACATCTCACTGAACTCATCCGTTTGTCCAACACATACTTGCTGTGCACCAGGCTTGAGGTATACAGTGAGCAAGTGACAAAACCCCCCTGCCCTTATGAACTCAACATTCTAGTTGGGAGAGGAAGGCAAGTAATAAACATAAAATATAACCACATTTTGGAGTATGTTAGAAAGTGACAAGTGGTATAGAAGAAAGAGTACAGCAGGCAAAGAGGGGTCAGGAATGCCAGGGAGGGTGGCTGGCGGTTCTTAATGGGGTGGGCTGCATAGGCCTCATTCAGAAGGTGACATTTGAGCAAGGGCTTGAATTTGGTGAGGGCGTGGGCCATATGGTTCTCTTGGGGAAGAAATGAAAGAAATGAACTGCCAGTCAAAGGCCCTCAGCAGGAGAGAGTATGCCTGGTGTATCTGAGCAACAGTAAAGAGTGTGATGCAGACAGAGTGAGGTGAGATGGAGACTAATAGAAGAGGAATCCTTCCCTTTGATCACCGTCACATTTTCGTAGATTTTCTTTCCTTGGACTAATTCTCCCTTGGATCAGTGTATTGAACAATTTTGGATAATCCCCCCACCTCTGGCCCTTTCAGGACCCTCCCTTCTGCAGCTATGGACTCGTGACTGACCATGCCCCTTGATGCCCCCACCCCCTCCATCCCCCCCTCCTCTCCCGGACCCCAGCACGGAGCCTGGGTCTCAGCCAGCCCTACCCCACAGGGGACACGAGTCCTGTGCCCTTGCCAGTCTGTGGGACCCTTCCGATTGTGCAGCAGCAGCGCATCTGGCACCTGTACCGAGACATCTCTGAAAACATTAGCGAATGGAAGTGCATGGCCTTTGTCAAGGTGCTGACACCCTTCCTTGGAACTCCTGCCTGGGAGTGGAGTGTTCTCAGGGGTGGGGTGGGGGTGGGAATGGGTCTCCAGCTGCCTTTCTGCCTCCAGTTTAACCTGGCCATGGCCCAGGAGAAGACAGATGGCTGGCTGACGGAGGCCGCCCGGATGAGTGCCACCCTGGGGCTGCACAGCCCAGTTCTGCAGCACTGTATGCGCATGTTGGAGGAGTTTCGCAGCCTCCTGCCATTGATCACCAAACTGGGCAGCCTCCAGCCGCAGAACCACAACTTCCAAGCCCTCCTGCGAGGTGGGTTCGGGTAGAGTCAGAGGGGAGGGGAAGGGAAGGACATCCGGTTAGAACAATGGGACAACTCAGCTCCCTGTTGCTCCTTTTGGAAACACCTTTCCTCCCTGGGTTGCCCCTGGCCTTCTGCCATGCCACGTACCATAACCTCCTTCCCCCCACACAGGGACAAACATTTTTAACCCCCTGCACTTCCATGTGGGTCCTCTCTGCTGACCTGGGCTAGGCTTAGGCGGGAGTCTTAGCTTTGGACTCTAAGTTGTACTCTGGACCTTAGGTTCTGGGCCCCTGCCTCTCTGCTGGGCTTTGAGATCTGCTGTCTGGGAGCTGAGCTGGGCTGGGCTCTGGGATATGGGCTGGAATCTGCCAAATACCGAGTGTGATGCTAACTTGTTGTCCCTCTACCTCCAGCCTTAGGACTAGGCAGTCTCCACAACACTGAGCTCCTAACACTGGGCCAGCTGCTCACTTGTCCACTGCTGGAATTTGCAGATCGAATCAATCAGGTGGGGCCCACCAGAGACAGGATAGTCGAAGAGCAGGGCCTATTTACTGAGCTCTAATAGAGCCAGTTAAGGCCCAGCAGCGCCTTGAGACAAGGGGCAGCAGATACTGGCAGATGGGTGGGGGATTGAGATTGGTAGCCTGCCTGGAGGGTATGGGGATGTGATGGGTGATTCCAGACTCTCTGTGACTGAGAGTATGCCCTCCCCAAGGGAAGGAAGTGGGTGGCAGCCCCAAAGTTGTGGGCACACAGGGTAATAGATGTCCCCCAACATTTACCCTGTCCCAAAAGAGCCTGAGCTGTTGGAGGTACTGTCTGCTCAGCCGGGAACCTTGCAAAACAGTGGGTTTCAGGGCAGCAGCCTTAGGTCACAGTGTGCTGCTGGTGGCCTGTCTTTGATGCTGGTGGCCCCACTCTCCATCTCGGAGACCTTCACTGCCCTAAGCCCTGGCCCTCAAGTCCCAGCTCCGAGGCTATCCCCACAGCCATTACACAGTCCTGGTTCCTGAGACTGAGCTGTTCCAGATCTGGCAGTGTGAAAACGAACGGATCCATGCCCAAGAGGCCCTCCTGCAGCTGCAGCGGGCCTGGGAAGCGCGCCAGCTGCGGCTGCTCAACTTCATCCTGCACATGCCGTACGAGCCCCCCGCCTCAGAGCGCTCCAGGAGACAAGCGCTCCGCAGCCCCCAGTGGGAGGTCATGGGCAAGGACAGTGGCACCTTCATCCTTTCAGGTGAGACCCAGCCCTTGTGGCCCAGTGAAAGCTCCCTCACCTTGCGGAGAGCCATATTCATCCACCCAGCCCTGCCAGAGCTGGTTTCTCTAGCCACCCCCACCTCCCAAACTCCTGGACAGCCTGAGCCATGAGTCTGTTCTAAGACAATACCTTCCATGTAGCTCCCATACAGTCTTAACCTTCTTGGGAGCCCCCTGCCCCCTCCCTCCTGCCCAGTGCCTGGCCTCTTCAGCAGAGGTCCCCCCCTTTCTGGGTGTGCTAAGAAATTCCTCATGGTCACATCTCTCCAGCTTTCAATGCTCCGTCCTCTAGATGCCTGCTGCTATCTGTTCTTTTGCCCTACTCATTCATTCCTTTTTCATTCCCTCCCTCACCTGCCTCCTCTAAGCTGAACCCAGGAGACCCTGAGATTTACAGACTGGAGTCCTGTCCCTTGTGAGCTCCTGGTCTGGTGAGAGAGGGACAATAGAATAGAGATAAATGCATGATGGAGCACTTAACTGAGGGTAACAGACGCTCAGAAAGAGGATGGATTTCAAGGGACCAGGACAGTCAGAGGAATCTTCCCTTCTCTTAGGCAAAGGCCTCATGCTGACTTCTGAAGGAGCAGGAATTTGCCAAACTTGCAAGGGAAGAAGGGCATGCCAGGCAGAGAGAATAGCATATGTACAGGCCCCTAAGATGGTTAATTAGGGAAGTGTGTAGGGGAGAAGTGCTCTTATGCAACACAACTGCAACCCAACTGGCAAATTTAGGAAGTTAGTTAAATAGGGAAATCGTAAAATATGCATACATTGCTTACGATTTTTATTTTAGCTTGAGTCATATAACGTGCACTTATTTACTAACCTTTTAACCTAAGGACAAGAGCTTTTCTTTGATTTGCAATCAACTAACAGAAGTTCCTTACTGCCTTTCTTGCGTTAATGCATCACCTGCTATTTCCGCTTTAGTTTCTGTAAAGTTGAGCAGTGACATGAAGACACTTGTGAAGTTATCTGAGTCCAGGACTTTTCTAGATTTTTATTACAGTTTTAGAATTCAAAAAAAAAATTGACTTGCTGTTTAATACCATGTTTTCATTAGTTCACCTTTGCTGAAGCCTGCCCTAGTTTCCATAGAACCAGCAACTCTCTTTCTACCCGTATTTCAGTAGTTAACAGACTATTAGAGTAAATTCTGTCATTTAAATTATAGCTCCCATAATCGGAAGTCACATAAACAGGTTTGCAAATATAATCTGACTCTTGGTGAGCATACAGTTCAACTAGTGGAAGAAAAAAATATTTGTGTTTTCTAGAGACTAGTTTGAGATCTGTGAGTTTCAGTGGATTTGGGGAATCAGTCACCCTTGCCCCATCTGGCTGCCAGCTCAGCTTAGCTCAGCTCAGCTGGAGCCCCCTCTTCCTCAGATTACAGCAGCTTGCAGGATTCTATCCAGGAAAGTCTTCAAGTATTGTGCAAGATCCTGGCCATCCAGAAGTCCGGAGAATTAAACAGAAGGGCTTTGGAGTGGGTGACCATCATGCATGACCTGGGTGAGTGCAGGCGTCTAACTGAGCTGATGGGTGGGACCTGAGGCAAGATGGCCCAGAAGGATGGGGTGAGAGGTGAGGGCCGGGCGAGGACAGAGTGAGGACCTCTTTCAGGGCTACTTCTTGGGCTGAAGTGACCAGATACTTGTTCCTGGTGTTAGGTTTTCTCTCCTTAGAGCAAGGTCCCTGGGTCCTGCTAAGCAGAGTTTTTTGGGGGTAGGGCACTCCAAGAGAGCAGGAGCAGGCTGGACCCCCTTGCAGAAGCCAGAACCCTAGTCTCCCTCCAGTGTTGCTCTGGCTGCTCTCACAGGTGCCCTGCTGGAGGTGTGGGTGAGCTTCCAGCAGAAGTGGATCTTTCTGAATAAAGTTCTGCATGAGATGAAGATCCAGTTTCCTAGTTCTGACCTGGTAGGAAAGGTGGGTGTGGCTGGGTGGACAAGTGCTCAGGGTGAGAGGGAGGCGCCGCCCTCACTCTGACCCTCTCCCTCCCCACAGAGCTCCCGTTTCAAGGCCATGGATGAGCAGTATCGGACCCTGATGCAGATCTCTGTCACTGATCCCCTGTTCTGTCACTCATCGTGCCCAGTGCCAAGCGCAGCCCTTCCTTCCAAGGCCAGCAGCTGCAGCAGCTGCTACAAGCTGGCTCCGTGGAGCTGGAAGGGATCATCATGGCTCTGGAGAGCGTGCTGTACAGCGTGTGTGCTCAGTTCCCCCGCCTCTTCTTCCTCAGCGACAGTGAGCTGGTGGCCCTGCTGGCTGCCCCTCTGGAGTCCTGTGAGGCCCAGCTGTGGGTCCGACGCTGCTTTCCTCACGTGCGGGCCATGCTCTTCAACTTCAGCCAAACTGATAAAAACATGGGTGGCCGGCAGTCAAGCCCAAGCACGCAGACGCAGGTGGAGGCACTTGCAGTGCTCGGGGCCGGTGGGGAGGAGGTGAAGCTGCAGGGGCCCCTTCCCCTGCATCCAGATCTCCCCAAGTGGTTGGCCTGTCTGGAGAAGTGTCTGCGTGTGGCACTGGTGCACATGCTGCAGGACTGCGTGGCTGCCCGCCTTGCTCTGAGCCCGTCCCTAGACAAGGCCTTCAAGCAGCTGCCCCAGCAAAGCCAGTTGCCCCCACAACTGTATGTCCAGCACTGGCTGGACTTGGTCCAGGCCTTCCCGTGGCAGTGTGTGCTGGTGGCAGAGGAGGTGGTGTGGCGGGTCCACATGGAGGAGGCTCTGCTTGAGGGGAAGACCCTGGCAGTGGTCCCCATGCACGTGCGGAAGCTTGAGGTCCTGGTACATTTTTTGCAGGCCCAGAGGGCCTCTCAGGGTGAGCAGCCCCTGCCCTCTGTCCGCCAGACCAGCCTGCTCAGTGCCTTGCTGGTCATGGCGGTGACTCACCGGGATATAGCGCAGCTGCTGCAGGAGCACCAGGTCAGCGATCTGACCGACTTCCACTGGGCCCGCCAACTCAAGTATCACCTGGGTTCACCTCCCACCACCCTCCAGAAACCCCCCCAGAGTCCCAAGTCCTTTGCATCTTCTGAGACTTCTCTGTCACCAGCTGCATGCTGGGTAGATGTACTGGGCCGGTCTTTCCTGTACAATTATGAGTACCTGGGTCCCAGACTGGGGTCTCTACCCAACCTGTTGCCTGAGCGGCCAGCCCTAGTGCTGCTATTGGCCCTGGAAGAGGTGACCTGTGGGACCCTACTGGGCCCTGATGGTGTGGGCAAGGCAGCCACGGTGCAGAACCTGGCACAGGCCCTGGGGCGCCAGCTGGTGATGATGCCCTGCCTGCCTCACATAGAGGCCCGAAGCCTGAGCAGCTACCTGAATGGTGCCCTGCAGGGTGGTGCCTGGCTGCTGTTAGAGGCAGCTCAGCGCTTGCCCCTGGGCTTGCTCTCGGCCCTGGGCCAGCGCTTGGCTGAACTGCACCACCTCTATGCCCCACTGTACCAGGAGGCTTCCCGAAGTACCAGCACTGTTGACCCCACACACCCCCAGCTCCTCGGCAGTGGCTGCTTTGAGAAACATCACGTGGACATGCGCCTTGGCTACGGCTGTCTCCTGACACTGCGGGCCCTGAGCCCTGCCGTGCCTGCCAACCTGCGTCTCCTACTGCGGCCTGTGGCACTGATGCTGCCTGACCTGCAGCAAGTGGCAGAGCTGACCCTTCTGGGTGCAGGGATACGGGACGCCACGTGCATGGCGACCCGCCTGTCCAGGTTCTTCTCCCTAGAGCATGAGCTGGTGCCTAGGCCCCTGCCCTGCCGCTTGCCCCTGCTCAAGCAGGTACTGGAAGACACGATACAGGCCCTAAACACGACCGTGGAGGGTCCCAAGTCCAAGCAGCCCTGCAACCTGGCTGCCATTGAGGAGGCCACCCTGCTGCGTGCCCTGCTGCGCTCCCCACTGTTCAGCATCCTGGATGAGGTCCACCTGTGCAGCCTCCGAAAGCTTCTCTGTGGGCTCTTCCCTGCTGCCCACCAGGTACTGGCAGAGCCCATGACTCACAGGCTGAGGAAGTCACTGCTGGAGGAGGAGTTGCAGCAAGGACGCCTGCATCCCAGCCCTGATATTTTGGGGTCGCTGGAGCAGCTGAGCCAGGCCCTGGGCCAGGCCTCCGGTGTTTTGCTTCTGGGCCCTGCAGGTAGTGGCAAGACCAGCTGTTGGAACAGCTTATTTAAGATCCAGAATCGGTTGGCAGCCATGGAGATTACCTCAACCCAGAGCTGCCAGCCCGTGGAGATTATTCACCTGTATCCCAGTGCCCTCAGCCCCCAGGAGTTCCTGGGATGGCTTGAGGGCCCCTGCTGGCACCATGGTGTCTTCCCCCAGCTGCTTCGTGAAGCCATTCGGTGTAAGACTGTGGGCCCAAGGGGGCAGGTGCAGGAAGCAGTGGGGATTCATCACTGGATAATATGTGATGGGGCTCCCAGTGCTGCTTGGCTGGACTCTGTCACTTGCCTCCTGGGTGACCCTCCTCAGCTTAGCCTCCCCAATGGTCAGCAGATAGCACGACCCCCAGGAACTTTTCTCTTGATGGAGATGGGAGATGCAACAGGCATGTCCCCTACGTTGGTAGGCCGCTGTGCCCTAGTCTGGTGTGGCGGGGAGCACACCTGGCAGGGTGTGCTGAGCGTCCTGATGGCAGCCCTGCCCCGGGAGTACCGCCTGCAGCTCAAGACTATCACTGAGCTCAACTACCTGGCTGACGTGCTGGTGCCCGCAACAATCCAATTCCTCACCAGCCAGGGTGCCAGCTCTCTGCCGCAGGTTCACGGGCAGCAGGCTGTTTGCCCAGGTGTGGCTGAAGTCACCAGCCTAGCCCGCATCCTGCGTTGTCTGCTTGACCTGCACCTGCGCATAGATGACGAGGAGAAGGCACATATCCCAGGTGCAGGAAAGGGAAAGGGCAGGGCTGATTTGAGAGGATAGCTGAGATATAGCTGGAGCCTGAGGCCCGGGTTCTTAGTGGCCTTGGGCTTGGAGACTGAAAGTGAGAAGCAATAACCAACCTCTCCTCCCCAACCCCCTTCCCTTTTTTGCTACTGGGGCTCTGATTCTGGCCATGGTGACCTTCGCAGAAGACCTCAAATATAGTGATACTGTGGCCCAAAGCTTCAAGTCCTCGAAAAGCAGCTCTCTGAACCGGTACCAGATTGATGGTGATGGTGTACCTGATAAGCGCAGGGAGCACTTGCTGGCTGTCAGCAGCTTTCTTTTTGCTTTGATCTGGGGCTTCGGAGCCCACCTTCCCTCCAGGTATCTACAGCGGGGCAGGGGAGATGCAGAGGGCTGAGATGGAATAGCCCATGGGAGCCAAACCCCAGGTGACATCATTGGAGGAGGGTGGGGGGTGTGAGTGTATCGCAAATGGAACTGTTGTAACTGCCTGACAGTTTTGCCTGTATGCCCATCTGAGCAGGCTCTGGCCCTTCTTTGATACCTTCCTGAGGGATTCTATTAGTTGCCTCTCCGACTACCCTGAGCCACCACCCTCAGCCTTGGTGTTTGATCTGCATGTATGCCCTGAAGATGGGACACTGGCCCCCTTCACTGGCCAATACCTGGGCAACCACCTCAAGGGACCTCAGGGCACTTTCAACCCTTCTCCCCAGGTGTGAGGACAGTGGGGCAGTAGCTGGGGTTTAGGCTCCAAGAGAGATCCTGGGGTGGTAGGGTCCTAGGCCTAGGCGAGGCCCACCTGCCCCAATCTTTGATATATTTTCACAATTACAAGAATACACGAAGTGTTCTGCAAGCACAGCTTTAAGACAAGGCCCTTAGGCCTCTTCTTTCAGCCAGACTACTGTGCTAACCTGGAGCTGCTCCTGTCCTGCAGACCGAACGGCTCCTATACGTGGTGGACCTTCTTCTGTCAGAGGGACACCCCGTGCTGCTGGCTGGAGAGGCAGCAACAGGGAAGTCAGCCTTTGTGGAGGTGCTCGTGGAGCCACTGCACCCTTACATGTGCAGCCCCATCCACCCAGCTGTCCGTACCACCCACCTTCGCCTTCTGCTGAACCAAGGGTTCCAAAGCCAACCACAAGCCAGCCAGTTGTCTACACGGCACGTGGATTCCAAAGGCTTCCTCCTCTTCCTGCTGGAGGATCTGCACCTGGCTGCTTCTGGTGAGGACCTGGGAGGAGACTCTTGAGACTGTAAAATATCTAGCAATATTCATTGACTGTCAAACATACACCTGCAGACCAAACCTCAGTGTTCCATTCTTAATATCTTCTCATTCTACACGTGCTGCCTGAATAATCGTAACCCTTGTGTGGCCTCATCCACCACCTCTGATTCTCTTCTAAGCATCAGACCTGTTTATCCAACGATCTACTGGATATCTCTACCTTGTTGTCCCATTGGACCCTCAGACCCTACCCTGAACTCATCATCTCCCCTAGCACCCTGCTCCCATGTACCACCTGCTCCCGGTACCACCATCCATACAGT